TGTTAGCCTGCAATACCCAATACTGGGCTATGCCTCTGAAATGGGGGTCGTTAGGGGCAATTGTTGGCCTGGCTGACCGGGCGAGATGTTTTTGTCCCCTGCATGGGGGTGGGGGTTAAGAAGGTAGTGGGAAGGACTCAACTCAATTGCTGCGTTTTTGACAGCTGAAACCCGAGTCCACTCCCTCTGTTTAAGGTTGATTTTTCTTTCTCAACATGGCTTCCTTCACACCCCTTTCAAACCACCTGTCTTCTTTGTCCAAACTGTGAACATTCTGGTCCTCAAAAGAATGTCTTTTGTCCTTAAGGTGTAGATGTACATGCAAGTCTAGTCCCAAAGAGGTCACTCTTCTGTGTTGGGCCATGTGTCTGTGGAGAGGTTGTTTGGTTTCTCCAATATAAAGACCAGAGGATTCCTCACTGCATTGAAATGCATACACTACACCATTTAATATTTAGTATTACTAAGGTATTGGTATTAATAAGGTTTTGCTGCAGAAAGAAAGGACAATTTGAAGGTTGAGCCTTTCTGTCAGGCTTAGAGGCTTTTGGAGGCTTTATAAGAAGGCCCTTTGCCTCACACACACAAAAACAATTCTAATTAGGTTTCATAAGGATATTGTTTTCCTGTCAAATATGTAAAAAATGACCTAAGAAGGACCAAAAGCAGAGGGAGACCTCTTTGAAAATCACAATAGTATTTGTGGTGTTTTTATTTCTCTTCTATTTACATCAGAAATAACTTTTGTGGAAAAGTGACTGATTGTGCTTGCTTAATGTTTAATCTGATGAAATTCCTCTCAGATTACATTCTAATGTCTGATTTTTCTTCATAGAGCAGTTTGTATGTGCCTGTGTTGGTAGCAAATGTATGTGTGGCAATTCCCGAGCTTTTCTTAGCATTCCAGCCATTCCCCTGGTACCTGGCAAAGGGTCTGTTCTCCTCAAACAGGGTATTTTTAGGTCTTGAGAAGCAGCTGGCTCTGTCTGCGGCTTCACGAGGAGTCCAAGCGTCTGTTTACTAAAAAATGTGGTGAGGCAGACGTCCAAACACACCCTATTAGTAACTGTGTGGCTGTCTGAGTGGGTCTTATGTGGATTATTGAGTTATGTAGACAGGTGTAGGTTTGTGAAATTATAGCACTGATGGATGTGACGTGATGATAGTAGGTCTATTAAATTTGCTTGGTTGAAAAGGTAGCTTTCTGGTTCCCTTACATTTTCTACTATTTTAAATTAGGGCTGTGAGAAACAGTAATTTTAGTAATCGATAGATCCTATGATTTAGTAATCTGATTTTAAAATAATCACATTCAGCAGATTTTTTGCTAAATTTTAAGGTTACTTTACGGTTAATAGGAATACTTGGAAAAAATGCACACAAAAAAAAAAATCCCCAAAACAATTTTTTTTTTTTTTTATTAGAAAATAAAAAGGAAGCATCTGTGGCTAAGAAAATGTTTCCAAAGTCAATAAGTTTAAAAAACAGCCATAGAAAAAACCCATAAAGTTTAACTGGCATATTATTTTGTGGATTTATGTTCTATTTTTCTTTAGTTTGGCAGATTCTGTGTATGTGTATATATTTTATATTTTGGCTAGAATATATAAAAATAAATAACCATGTACATTCATTGATATGCACTGTGCCGATTTATCGGTTGGGCTCTATTAAAAAGTATCCTTTTATTTAGAACAGAACTCTCTTAGATTTCCCAAGGGAAATCTAAAAGCACCAAATAAATACATAAATGCATTTATTTGGTGCAAAAACAGAATTAAAACATAACACACTAATCAAAAAGTTTAAATCAACTGATTTAAATTTCGGCATAACTGCTCACAGCTGCACTCTCCTCTGTTTTGTACAGTATGATCCTGCTGACCAATTAAAACAAAGCTGTGCAGAAAACTGGGGTAGCATTGAATAGCAGTCAGAGCTAAGCTGCGGCTATCAAACCTTTTTTTTTCTCCTTTTTTTAAAGTTTAAAGTGAACCTATAACCTTTTATTAATTTTTCAATTTTATTTTTTTTTTACTTTGTATTTAACAGATTAAGAAGAACTGAATCTGACATTTCAAACATGGATGGATTTAATATTTTTCTCTAGAAGCATTAAATCCTGAAGGTCTTGTAGAAAGACTGCGTTAGTGAGGCGGATCATTACTTGGTCGCTGAAGTTCAGCTCGACCTTCCCAGTGTCCACACTGCCTCACGCCAACCGCTGGAGATGGACTCAAAATCCCAATGACCTACAAGGATAACTGGATATAGAGGATGGATCCATTTCTGAGATTAATATCTTAACAGAAATTTATATAAAATAACTGTGAAACAAGGTTTAAAATGACATTTGAATTTTCTACGTGTAGGCACGTATTAAAAAGTGTTTGAATATCGAGGCTAATGCATTGACCTAACATTGTGTGGTTTGTTTCTGATCAATGATTTATTGGAAACCTTGGAGCTACTGATTACGCGGTCTCTCTAAGAACAGTAGATATATTTTTGTTCAAGCTAATGGATAATTTACATAAAACTTAAGGTGCAAAATCTGCCTTTTTAACCACAATTATTGTGCAATTTAAGTCTCTGGGAGTCTAGTTTAATTTAGTCTATCCAGGTCGTATTATTTTATTTTTTTATCTTTTCAGTTCTTATTCCCTTATTACATTTGTTTATTAATAACCCCAGTATATTTTCCCTGAAACTTGAAACAAGGTCATGGTCTTCTAGCTTATTGATTTTGCAAAGCCGGTGTTTCTTAATTCTTGAAGCGATTCCTCTGCTTTAAGCTCAAGCAGGGGCCAATTTAGGAAATTTGCGTCCCCAGGCAAAGACAGGCAGGGGAATTGAGAAGACAAAACATAAAACAGACCCATTATACAGATACAGAAATTTTAATGGGATAGACATACATTACTTGTTCTATGTTTTGTCACTCTATTCTTGCCCCTTTTCTTGTTGTTTTCCTCTCTGTTTTGTACTCAGCTGACTTTTCATGCTGTCTCAAAAGAAATGAAAGATTTTTTCCAAGCACCAAGCTCACTTAGCTGATTGCTCCTTCCTGTGTTTCCAGCTGAGACACACTGAATATTATAAGCATTCTGATTGCATTTCAGCCAAAGGATTTTTATCAAAATCATAATTAATGTGCACAAATAAGGAATAGCTGTATTAACCATACATGTAAAAGGAGTTTTATGGGCCCCCTAGTATATGCCTAGTGTTGCCTAATGGTAAATCCGCCCCTGAGCTCAAGGATGCTGAAGGTATAAATGGATAATTCAAAATGTTCCACTGTTTGGTAGATTAACCCCAAAAATCCATTGCAAATTATAAATGCAGTAAAATCCTGTAGGATCACGCAGCAGGTCTTGATGCTCAGTTAAAATTTTTCGCTGAAATATATTTTTTTCTCGTTACTGTCTTGTTCATACTACCAATTAAATGCAGCCATTATGTAGGCAAAGCAACCCACACATGCAGAAGAGCATCTTTGTGAAGGCAAACACACTGTTTAGGGAGGTAATGATGGATGTGACTGTTGGAAGTGTTCGATAAAGCTTTTATCTAAAAAAAAAAAAAAAAAAAAGCTGCGGTTTCTGTATTATTATTAAAGTCTTGAGCAATGGGAGCGGACTGTATCATGGCACCATCAATAATAAAGAAGGGAGGTAAGAAAGAAAAAATAGTAAATATGCTAACAACATCATTAACAACCTGGTATATGCATACATTGGAAATGATATAAATAATGACTTCCTTACAGAGTTAAATTCACTTAGTTTAACAGAAAATGGCATTATTTAATTTTAAGCTCTGAAGTTTAGTTTACTGTTAAATATTTCTACTTGCAAACTCCCAAGAAGCAGTGATAAGGTTACATACACCAGTAATTTAAAGGAATAGTACACCCAAAACATGATTAGCCTTCATTTTCTACTCACCCCCATGCTGAACAAAACTCTGGAGTACTTTTTTGATATCTCAAATGCATCTGGAGATCTGGGAGGCTTCTTGCTGTCTGCTGACATTCAAATAATGGAGGTCCATGGCGCCCGAGACAGAAAGGTCCATAAAAGTCCACAAAAACGTGTCAATATTCCTCCATACTGCTCGTCCAATGTAATCCAAGTGTCCTGAGTGGGTAGCATCCAGAATTTACTCGAAACGAAGTCATTTAGAATGTTTTTAGAGCCTAAACAGTAGTGTATAGGATTTCCTAATAGCGCCCCCATGCGCGCTCACGATTCTACGGAAGCCGGCAGACCAAACCGGAAGTCAGCGTCAGCGCATTCAGCTCGGCAAAGAACTCATGCTCTTCCTCAACACTGAAGTCCTCAGACATTTTTCTTTCGTTGTTTCTTTCTTTGCACAGGTAAACAGCACATTTCTTCTTCTACGCTTGCATTACTGGCAGAGCAGACGCTGACTTCCGGTTTGGTCTGCCGGCTTCCGTAGAATCGTGAGCGCGCATGGGGGCGCTATTAGGAAATCCTATACACTACTGTTTAGGCTCTAAAAACGTTCTAAATGACTTCGTTTCGAGTAAATTCTGGATGCTACCCACTCAGGACACTTGGATTACATTGGACGAGCAGTATGGAGGAATATTGACACGTTTTTGTGGACTTTTGTGGACCTTTCTGTCTCGGGCGCCATAGACCTCCATTATTTGAATGTCAGCAGACAGCAAGAAGCCTCCCAGATCTCCAGATGCATTTGAGATATCAAAAAAGTACTCCAGAGTGTTGTTCAGCATGGGGGTGAGTAGAAAATGAAGGCTAATCATGTTTTGGGTGTACTATTCCTTTAATCCAGTTCTGTCAGTAGCAAACAAAATAGACCAGTTTTCTACTTTCACTGTAGCTTATTTGCTCTTTTAATTCTAAAGGTTGAACATCCCGCATCTCTTTTTAAAAGTACCTGGTCAGTTGGCTCCTTTCTGACTTGGCACTAACAGAAGGTATCTGTCTGTTTAATTTGTACCTCTGCAGGGGGAGAAAAATGCCGGCTTTGACGTGCTCTACCACAACATGAAGCATGGCCAGCTGGCAACCAAAGAGCTGGCCGAGTTCGTCCGAGAAAGGTTTGTGTAGAGGGTGACTCAGTGATGGGAGTGCAGGGTGAAATCTGACTCCTAAATCTGCATTTGGAGTAAAAGACGAGGGTTTGAGCCAAGAATGGATGATGTACCTATTGGAAATGGGCTGTTGGGTACATCTGCTGATTTAAGTGAAAGTGAGGACCTGTCACTAGCTTACAAAAAACACAATATATCCACTATTCCCTTTTAGCACTATTGAAATAGTCTCTGACCTCTGACTCACGTCTTAACCCCTATTATATGCCACTAAAGTACATCAGGTATTCTGAGAAATCTAATTCATGTGGAGAAGCTCATTGCAGTATTTGGATGTTTATTGTGCCAACTGTACACTTCCTCTTCCACCTCATTTAGGTCACAGTAAGTAGTTGCAGCAGACCAAGTGTTCTTGTAATAAATCAAAGATGGAATTAAGATTTTTTTTTTTCAACTTTTAATCCTGTATCACAGAGTAAAATATTCTACAATGAATAAATATGTTATATTACTTTCTTTTTTACTGCTCAGAAGTCGGCAACTTCATATTCCAGAGAACTAGTTTTTCCCTCTTGCTACCAATTATTTTTAAGGATTATCTTATTAAATGACAGGTTTTTCTTAACTAATGTAGTTGAAGACTTGACCCCCTGGTTCCACTAAATGTAGAGGATGTCGCTCTTTTTGCCAGCCGCTCTATTCCACCAGGGGTGTTTCAAGTTGAACAGTTAATCTTGGATCACACGAGGATTGGGTTATTGTGCATTAGTGATGCTTAGATGGAACAGTAAGCGGTAAAGTAGATATTCGGCCTGTTATAGTATTTATATTTTTCATTTTATAGAAAAACAAATCTAATGTTAAAAAAGAAATATTTGAGGAAAAATGAATTCCCAACTCAGTGATAAAGCTTCTGCCGTCTGTCACTGTTCTTCTGTCCTGATAAAAACATTTAAATGAAACCTGCTTTCCTTATTGCCCAGATACCTTAAAGCTTTGCTCAGTTGCTGACTCAGTTCTGTGTTTGTTTCTACTTCAATGAAAACTATAACAGGAAGCATCACTTTAAAAATTGGTGCAATCCTTTCAGGTTTCCTTTCAAAGTATTTTCTTGCAGAAATCTTCACATTCTTCATCTGAATTTAGATATGGTTGGCATATTATTATTTAAAACATATTTTTATGTCTTTAATCCAGCAAAAGTTGAATTGGGAATATTTAATTTTTGTATATATAGAAAACAGAAATTCTTCCTTTAACATTAATATTAAAGCCTCAGCTTTTATCACTTGTAGTCAAAGTAAAATTGTTGTGAAGTTTTATTGTCTAACAAAAAAATCTACTGATTTAAAAAAAAATATATTATTCCAAAGGACTTAATTTCTACCAACTTTTCAATTAAGGTTTGAATATACACTGCTAAAAAAATAAAGGAACACTTTGAAAACACATCAGATCTCAATGGGGCAAAAAAATCATGCTGTTTATTTATACTGATGTGGACTGGGTGATGTGTTAGGAACAAAAGGATGCCTCATCATTTGATGGAAAGGAAAATTATCAACCTACAGAGGGCTGAATTCAAAGATTACAGTGAAACAATGATGCGGCAGGCTAGTTCATTTTGCTGAAATTTAATTGCAGCAACTCAAAATGGTATTCAGTAATTTGTATGGCCCCTCTGATATACTGTTTAGTGGTGGTGGAGATGCTTACTTCTCATCCTTTCAAACTTTTGCTGCAATTAAAGTAAAATACGCAATATAAGTAAACATAAGCAATATTTTAAACCAACAGAGATTGGCATCTACCGTGAATTGACAGATCATCTTATTAAACCCCCTTCTTATTTTGTCTTTAGGCTTAAATCCTTGTTGTAGGAAGTAATTGAATAAATGATCATCCAGTTAAAATAGCCACAAAGGGATAGGAATAGACTAGGGCTGCAACTAATGATTATTTTTTAAATTGATTAATCTGTTGATAATTAAAATTTTTTATTAATCGATTAATAATCTGATAGCCAAAGGTTCTTTAAAAAAAGATTTTTTTCTAAATTAAACCAGGTGACGTTTAAGTGGAGTTCTGCGTAGAGCTAATGAGAGACGAAAAAGTTTATTTAAATGTAAAATGTTTTTATATATATATATATATATATATATATATATATATATATATATATATATTATTATTTTTTTTTTTTTTACAATTTTGGTATAATTCCTGATCTAAGTGGGTTGCTCTGTCAGTAAAGTTCATGTTTTACAGTCTGTATACTCAAGTTAATGATTAATCCATTACTAGATTAGTAATGGACTAATTAGAATTAATAATCGATTAATCACTATTAATTTGATTTATTTTTTCAGCCCTACAATAGACTTTAAGGTTTCAGTTGACATTTGGTCAGTGTGAAAGCCATCATGTGAATTTCATTTAGATTAATTTGTGGTTTTGTTCTATATATTTTTACTCAAGTCTGATTTTAGATCTTATATAATTATCTTCTTAAATGTATTTTTTTGTGATAAAGTAATCTTTTACATGGTTATTTTTCTGTTCAAAAAAAGCATGAAGTGCTTTTGGTGTAGAAAAGCTTTTATTCTGCTCAAATGTGTTTTTAGGGGATTCAGTTAGTTCTTAAATGTGTTTGGACTTTATTACTCCAATGGAACATAGCTGTGGTCCTAAACATCAAAACCATAAAGTGTTTTCTTTTTGCTTCCCTCAGTCTGACAGTTATAATTTTCCCCTGACAGTGAAACTCTTCCACTAATGTCAATAAATCAGTAGTTGGTTTATTTGTAAAGATTTAGGTTTCCACTTTTGACTCTCCTACTTTGTTCATTGAAATCAACTGAATTCAATTTTCTTTAAAAAGATCTTTTTGCATCTCCCTGATTTACAATATTGGATTATTCTTAAATCAATAAACCATGTTATTTTTAGCTTTTCTACTTGCATAACGGTGTTTTTCTCTTAATCTTCTCCAGTGTTTGTAGATATCTAGAAATGAAAGGAACAGAAATGTTCATATTACTGTTAAAGATGGACCAATCCAGCCTTTTCATATCCAATCTAGTAGCAATACTGTGTCTGAGCTGTTACTACCGTTGAATTAATTAATGAACCGTAAATCTAGCTGTATGAGTGAATAAATTTAAATAAAAAAGGTAATTGTTTAAATCCCCATTAGCTGCTCTGCGTAAGGAGGTAAGTGCAGTTTGATACAAACAATTAAAGTGACTAGAAGGCTCTAACTGTATAGTATATGAAGTAATAAAGAAAAAAGATGACCGTATCGTAATGCTGGATTGGCTCATTTATTCTATATCCAACCAAGTTATTTGCTCAGTATCAGAGCTAGGGCTGCAACTAATGATTATTTTGCAAATCAATTAATCTGTCGATTATTGTATCGATTAACCGATAAACAATCTGATAGCCAAAGGTTCCTTAAAGAAGACTTTTTGTTAAATGAAACCAGGTGAAACTTAGACTTTTCCACTTGAGGAGTTCTGGATAAATTTTTTTCTTACATGCAAAAATATTTGTTTTCTTTTTTTTTTTTTTCTTTTTTTTTTTTTTACAATTTTGTTTAATGATTAATCAATTACTGAATTAGTTGACTATTTATTTAAATCTATTATTTTAATCGATAAATCAGGATTAATTGTTTCAAACTCGATCAGAGCCGACATCCTGTCTCTAATTTCTCTTATTCTAAAACATAATCTCTAGAAACAAGATTTCATATTTTTTTTCTTATTCAAGCTCTATTAGTTATTATAATGTTAAACTGCACAATGTTTACTATTGCAAAATTTTCAGCATGCGGGACTGGAAACCTAGATATATTAGGCTTCAGTTATTACAAAAAATAAGAAATAAAAAAAGGAACAAAATTTCTTTAGGAACATAGTGTTTTTATTTGACTGCTTATGGAGGAGGCTTCCCTGCTATCAGTGCAAGGAGTTGGTAAACTCACAGTTCTGCTCCTGATATAATCCTGACATTGATTCAAAACACCTGTCTGCATTCCTCACTGGGGGAATTCACATTTCTGTTTGACAGCAGCATACAGGGAAAATCAGTGGTGAGGAAATGAAACAGAAGCACTTTAGTAGCACAGTGTGATCCAGCCGGATCTGGGAAGGCATCCGTTTTGGTGTACTTCCTCCCCACTCTTTCTTCCTTTCTATGCTTCCTGAAAGCTTTTGTTGTAGAAATGTTTATGAAATGGTTGGTTGGGATTACCTGAGATTCATATTGCTCATGTAAAACAAATCCTGGGGCTAATCATGCTTGTAAACAAGTAAATACAACCAAATTACCCACTTTATCAGCTTTCAGTATATGTTTAAGATATAAAACTGATGGATTGATGTCAGTCTGACCTTAAAAAGTTCAAGTTCCTTTGGAGTAAAAATAAAAATCCAGATTTTTCAAGTAAATTTTCCAAATCGGTTTATTGCCTATCACTACATGAGGATGACATTTTCAGCTATTTGAGTATCATATATAAGCATAGTGAGCTTGGCCCACTTTAATAGCATTTCTTGATCAAATGATGACCTTTTTAAGACTGTTAGTGTTTTTAAGTGCCTTATAAAAATAAAGTAGAAGTGTATTATTTAAGATTTTAACTGAAACCTCAGTAATCTTTGTATTCCTGTAACTAAAGTTATGAACTCATTATAGAATAAGTTTATTTGGAAATGTTGGCCACCTTGAAGGTCAATTAAAGCAAATGTTTTCTAGAGCATACACACGGTGATCTCTCCTGCTCTTTCCAAGCCTGAAAAAAAAACAAGAATAAAAGGTTACGTCCGCAATTAGTTTCTTTAAAGCAGCTCATGACTATCCTCTCTTTTAAAGATGATAGCTAGAAGCTTAACTTCTTCCGGCCAGTAGGTGGCGCACTCACAAGTCGCCCACTCTTGTTTTCAATTTGCCAGCTTATTCTGATGAAGACCTGAGTATTTGTGGTGCTTTTCATTTTTTTATTTGAGCTTTTCTGTTTTTAAATTCCGTATCATACTAAATTGTTTGATTTACCTAAAGCAAGGTTGTAACCTTGTGATGAAAGTTGGTGGGGAAACTCTAAGGGTGGCGGCTGATGGACCTACAGTTACTCAACCCGAACACTTTCATTAGGTTTTTGTATTTTCCAAAAATTAGCTCAAACATATTTATTGAATGCTTTGCTATTGTTGAGAATACAAGAAAACCATAATACACTGATATATTAATAGATGTTAGAGAGATGCCTTTTAGTGCATTACATATATAGGGCCCAAAAACATTCATGTATAAAAAAAAATGCAATTTCAATTCCATCCATCCAGAAAAATATGGCTATGCTGTATTTTAATATTAACAATAGAAAAAAACGAGGAGTATACTTTAAGCTATTGGGCTTTGTACTTTTTTTTCTCTCCTGCAGGTTTCTCTAAGGGCTGCTGCTGTAGTGCTGCTGGAATAAAGCATTCGAGAATAAGTCATTTGTGTTTCTAGCTTACTGAACCGCCAACCTATACTGTCATTTGCATAGATTTCTTGTTTTAAAGGCAGGAGAAAAGGATGCAATTATTTCATGACATCCTTTTAATTAATGTCTAAAAACAGAACCCTGCAACACTGCCTCTCTATTCTGGGCTCTTATGTTTGTCAAGTCTTGCTATTGAAATTTTAAATCCATGATGTTACTCATCTGAAAAATGGTTTGCAATAAGGCGATGTACTATGGTATTATTCAGTATGTAAATAATCACAAAATATGAGCGTCAATTATTCGTGCTTCTATTAATTGAGCAAAGCTGCAAAGCTACCCCAGACCTTTGGGCACCACCTCTGGGCATGTTCTCATTTTCCTGGAATGCTGGTAGTTTAATTCCAGATCTGCTGCGGCAAACACCTTCCAAAAAAGTCCCTTTTTAGCTCAGAGATTTCTCCAAAAGGTCAAGTTGTTTTTTGTCGATTATAAGACCCTCTGGTCTCATGGTTTTGCCCATGGATGACATTTTTCTCCGGTCTTTTGTTGCATCTTTATTAAACAGTAACCTTCATTGGGATGGGTGAGGTCAGATGTTCTTTTGATGCTTTTCTGGGTCTTTTTGTGACTTCTTGAATTAACTCTTTGAAGTTATTTTTGTAGGCCAGGAGAAGGTTCATTACTGCTTCCTGTTTCATTTAGTTGTGGTTATCTGTGTTTTATTGGATTCCAAATATTTTATAAATAGCCTTGTTTTTTTCCCGACTTTGTTTTCATTTTTTGTCCTGCTTTTAAAGTGCTTTAGATCGGAATGCGTTTCTCTGAGATCTTTTTGCCTCATGCTGTCAAATTAGTGCTGTTTAATTTCTATATCCTTAGTCTGTCAATAATCAGGCCAGGATGTGGGCTGAACAATAAGCCAATTTTAACTTTTAAAATATTTTGAATAATCCCAGCTAAATAATGATTGTATATCTATCTATTATTTTTTTTTTTTTTACAGAACTGTACAGTTTTAACGTTTTTCTGTTATCTCAGTTTCTTACACATTCTCTAAATTAGTGGTTCTGCTTGTTTGTTTTACAGGGCTGCCATTGAGGAGACCTATTCCAAATCCATGAGCAAACTGGCCAAGATAGCGAGCAATGGGAGTCAGCTGGGGTGAGTAGAACCAGAACCACACCACTATCCAGCGCTGCCATATAACCAGTTATTTCACATTTATGTAATCCTGTGACTCTTATATGGTTGCATGTGTCAGTAGGGGAACGTCTGCATCAGCTAATTTTCATGTTTGGGATTAAAGTAACGCCATTTTCTATGTTTAGTGCACGTATTTTAATGTACATGTTTATGTTGTAATTGAAGGAGGAGCAAAAGCTATTAAATCTTGATTATTACAGACTTATTACAAACGAAAACTTTCTGCTATAATGAAGATTATAAACCAGATGCTGCAGTTAGCATAAAGGCAGGGCTATACTGAAAAAAAATGTTTAATTCTTCTCTGCTTCACTCATCTGTCACCTGTCTTTCTTTGTTAACCTCTCTGCTAACTTAACTGACTTCTGTTCATTTCCTTTTTTTATGTATTTATTTTTTCATATTGGGAGTGGACATTTATATCTTCCCTTAAAATGCAAAATATCAGATTGAGCCAGATACTTTCCGTTTCTGCGGATTCTGCACACCGATGAAGCAAAGATGCTGCGTTTTATGGTCTAGAAAAAAACATTTCCCTGATCATCGGCCATTTTGTTTTTGATTTACAAGCTGGTTTGTTACCTACAAGTGCAAATAAGCAGGTAAATATGTTTAAAAAACACAGTTTACCCTAATTGAAAGACAGGGTTTGGCCTAATTACACAGCATTTTAACAACTTGAAACATAAAGGAGTGGTAAACTGAAATGAGCTGCAGAGAACCATACAAGATAGGCTAAGAAATTAGCATATTATTACCTTTGTGTTGGGCAATAAAAAAAAAAAATACTTAGTTATAGTTACTAGTTATTTTTCTCATACAAATAGTTATAGTTACTAGTTATTTTTCCAAAAAATTAATTTACTTTAATTTGAAAGTAACTTACTAAAGTAGTTGAGCAGTTACTCTTTATGATCTAAAGTGTCGCAGAATTTAGGAAACTTTCTTGTTATGGGATTGTTAATATAACTAGTAGTTCAATTAAGGAATATGAAGTGTTTGTTATTTATTAATAAATGAAATAATTAAAAGGTCTACACATCTGAAAATGGTAAAAGCTAATCGGCACTATTTTGGTGTGTGTTGTTCAACAAGTAAGTTGCAAAATAATTATGATGATGTGATCATGTTTCTTGTTAATATCAAAAAAAAAACAAGATGATTTGACATTTTACAAAAAAACAAAACAAATAGGACGGTATGATTCCAGGATTTTTTTGTGAAAAAACGTAAACCATACAAGTAAAATCATTGTAGACCTGACAAAATAAAGAATGTGTAGAGCTTCTTTAAATTTCCAGCTTCACTGCAGCAATGCTGTCTTTGAATCCTTGGCTTTGCACCATTGTCTATCATCTGTTCCTGCTAAAGTTGCGTGCGCCACATGCGCTTACACCAGGACTCTGTAGTCCTTATTTATACACTTTAAGTTAAGAATAACAAATCTGTTTGAAGAGCAGTACTGACTTACACGTTGACTTTTACAAAGTCATATGTTACAGCGCTAGTTAATGGCACTAAAATTGTTTAAGATAAGAAGATTGTATGTTTTTTTGTAAAATCTTTGAGTTTTGGATCAACAGTGTAATTTTTAAGTATGATTTTTTTTTTTTTTTTTTCCCATCAGGACCTTTGCGCCCATGTGGGATATTTTTAGGGTGTCTTCTGACAAGCTGGCTCTTTGCCACCTGGAGCTGATGAAGAAGATGAACGATCTGATCCGGGACATCAACAAGTATGGAGACGAGCAGGTCAAAATTCATCGCAAGGTATGTATCTGGAATAAAACCATCACCTTTGCTTCATTCTTGTAGAAATTATATCAATCTGAAGACAAAGCCATAATTTCTTTAATGTTTCCAAGGACATTCAGTTGTTGTCTTGTCCTTTTAAAGCCTTAAGTGCAGCAACGATTTGTTTAAGATGTCCATGAAAACTGTGCTTCAACCAGACAAAGGAGGAGTTGGTTGGAACAGTGGAGGCAGTGCAGGCGCTGCAGGCTCAGAACGGCCACCTTCAGAAGTCAAAGGAAGGTTACCACACCAAGTGTTTGGAGCTGGATCGACTGAAGAAGGAGGCAGCGCCACAGAAAGAACTAGAAAAGGTTTGCCACCAGTTAAACATCCTCATAAGCATTAGCCACAGCAGTGAGCAAAAATAAAACAAATCTGTAAAATCAATTATAAGATATTTAAATTATAATGCATTTTCCTCTTAAAGACTTGCTAGTTTTTTTAACGATGAGGACCTCAGTTCTCAATGTTCCTCTGTAGTCATTTTTTTTTGTTTTTTTTTTTTTTCTTTTTATTTATGCTTTTTCAGAGTTACTCAGACAAGACAAAAGAGAAAGAGGAAAAAAAAATACAGCAAAAAAGTAAACAAGTACAACAAAAACAAAAATCAACAAGACAAAACAGTGTCGGCAAACTGGAGAACTGATAACAGGATAAAAGATGTACTAATCAAACTGTAGAGCTTATTAAAGCACGAGGCAGAGTCAGAGGGGACAACAAGTGGATCAACATAAGACATGGGATATCAATAAAAGAAGAGTGCAATAAAGGATGACAGTATTGAGATAATAATGAGTAATAAGAAAAAAAGAATAAAAAAAAAGAAAAAAGGTACAGGTCCAGAAAAGTATGAGAGTCATTTAACCCATTATTTTGAATATGTCTATTAAAAGGACCCCACACATCAAGGAACTTATCATGATTGTCTGACAAAGGGTATCAAATTTCTTCGAGATAGATACAGGACGCCATATCATTGAGCCCTTTCTTAAAGCATTGAGAGGTAGAAGATTTCCATTCCCGCAGAATAACTCATTTTGCAACCACCAAACCAAACATTAGAGCCTGCTGCAGAGACATGGGAAGAGTGACAGAGAATTTAGAGCAGCCCAGAATTACCAAATGGTTATCCGGATATAAAACTTTGCCATAAGCCTTACTATAAAATTTAAATATTCTGTACCAGAAGTCCATAAGCTTAGGGCAGGAGCAAAACATATGACCCAAAGTCCCATTATCTGATTTACATTTGTTACATGTTGGTGAGACACTGAGAAATATCTTATTAAGTTTGGTTTTAGAAAAGTGAAAACGATGGATAACCTTGAATTGAATAAGTTGCAATCTAGAATTAATGGAACAGGTTTTGATCCTTGACGCACTCAAATTCCATAACTCATCTGAAATATCGACTAGAGTGTCGAAAGCCCAGGCTTCTTTTATGATTAGTAGAAGGAGATAAACTGAAAAGATTAGCAAAGTGAGAAATTAGCTTTTTAGAAGTAAGGGGCTTTTTTATAAGCTCGAAGAAACTATGTTGCACTGATATGGTTTCAAAGTGAGGGAAATGTAGTCTGACAAAATTGCGAACTTGCAGGTACCTGAAAAAGTGGCTAGAAGGAAGACCAAATTTGGATAAAAAAGTTATTTTTGTATCAGGTCAGGAGGCATGCTGTCTTGCTGATGCCACGAATAAAGCAGAGACTTAGGGCATCTTTACATGTATTTGTTCTGTTTTTATTCTATTAATCAGATTAACTAGACTCTGCCCAAGAACATGGGGCTTCAACTAGACCCAGGATGTGATGAATAAATCTCATCTTTTATTTGGTAAACCTCCAGAAAAGAGTTAAGAATCGAGCATTACATTTACAAGCTTTGGTTATTTTTAAATTGATCCATCCTTCCTTATTTCGTAGACAGGAAAATCTTTACATTTCAAACTGTAAATGTTTTTATAAATACTTATTATCACTTCATGAACTTTCTGCAGCTTGATACGGGCATTATGATCATTTATAGTGTCAACTGGAAAAAAGAGGCCATTTCCACAATAGTTCAACCCTGACTGGAATATGTGCAAACACGCAAATTAAAAATTATTTAAATATTAAAATCTTATTACAGCCAGTAATTTGCCTTTAAAAAAAGAATCCCTCATGTTCTCATATAAACATCAAGAATAAAACCCCACCAAAAACCCCAACCATATCTAATCAAGTTACATGCAGACGTGAACCCATCAGGCCTCGGTTGATACCAGCCAGGCTGGTGCTGCAGTCAGTAGGCTTTACAAACTAAGAACAAAAATGTTAATGTTTTAAAAGTCATCACCTCTGAGTGACCTTGTTGTTCAAGAGCAGCACGTCTGAAGCCGTCTGCTAGAGCTGGACTCTGTTACACAAGTTGAGAAAAAGACCAGACACGTTGCAGATCCCACCCACCCTGACAATGAGCTGTCCCATTTCCACTGGGAAGTTGGTTAATCTGCAATAGATCCAGAGCAAGCAGACTTAAAAACAATTTCTTTCCCAGACCTTTAAATGCAGTCACCCTGTGATGACTGTCCAATGTGAAGGCAGGTTTATTTCTACAGTGGCAAACCAATTAAAAGTTCTGTTCATGAGAAAAAAGAAGAGTACATTACCCTGACATAGAGGCAACACAGAATATTTAACAGAATAAAGTGACACATCGAAATATGGTGATTACATAAAAAATATAAAATGGTTAAGAAAATAAAACGAAAGTTAGATTGAAAACCTAACTAATAATGTTTAAATAGCACAGTCAAAGATCACTCTAAGCATCTGTTGTTTTTATTTTATTATTTTTTATTTTTGCTATTTCAAAAGAATTTGCAGTGAACAAACAAGAATGATAACGAATATATTCAAAATGTAGAATGGGAACCGCTAACATACTGGTGGGGAATTACAAGAACTTAAAGTATGATTCTGAGTCTGTTTATTTCTTCCATCTCTGATTGAACAGAGCCCTTTATAATCCCAAGGAATGAGCAATTTGTTTGTTTTTAATCCCAAAACTTTCCTCCATGCATCCTTTCCATTGTGACAGTGTTAGTTACTTGTCAACCAGTTCTATGTAATGATTTTGCTTGCTTGCATTCAACATCAACAAATAATCTCAATATAAAACACCTTTTACAGCTCTCTGAGATTTATCCTGGATTAGCGGAGGATAAGAACTAAAGGTTGCTTCCAGCTGCCATTAGTGATTCACTTTTCCTCCTCACTTAAAAAAAAATATATCTTTTACTTTTTGAAGACTTCCAAAGGTTTTTTTTAGTCTTACTTTCTATATTTGTGCATTGTGGGCCAAATTCACAGGAATATCATTAATCGTCCATAATGACAACATTTTTTGGGGGATTATTTGCAGCATAATTTTAAATGTAAACTTTTAATTTATTTAATAGAACAGCTCTAAATGACGTGTATTAAGAAATATAACAAAATATTCTATAGTTATAGCAAATTATTATTTAAATTCTTTATTTTTTCCCTTTTTTATCAACTTTGTTTGCGGTTGATCAATGAAATAAGGTTATCTGTCAGCTTGGAATGGATGACATACTAGTCCTTAGCCAGTTGTTGGGAACATCTTCATTTACATTCGTCATTCATTATGTCATGTTATTGTTGACTGTTCTGCATCTACAAGGCACAATTCTCTCCTTTATGTCACCCAGAAATAAAGATCCCCTGTTATGTTTACAGACATTCAGTGTGTTGCAGCTCAGTAATCACACAATGCATTAGTTCTCCCTGAACACTCTTTGTCATAATGGTTTTGATTCATCACTATATAGGATTTAGTGTCAGCCTTGTGAGTCAGCAGCTGGATGGCTGTAATGTTCCTTTTTTCCCTCGCTAGGCGGAGCTGAAGTCTAAGAAAGCGGCGGAGTCCTTCGGGCTGTGCATCGAGAAGTACAACCGTGTGGGAGGAGAGTTCGAGCAGAGGATGAGCGAGTCGGCCCAGGTCAGCTTCGACTCTGGCGTTGTTACTCGCCTGCTGTGTGATGATGCTTTAAATGAGTTCCTCCTCTCATTGGCGTCACGCCTCTGTGACTCACCCGCCTGAAGAGAACCCCATCTCATCCATTCATGCATCATCAATAAAAGGAAACCTCGGCCAAATCTCCCCCAAATCCTAAACACCCACTTCCACCTTTAATCACTGCCTCTGTGCTTCCATGGTTACAGCTGCTGTTTCCATGGAAATATTTAACAAATCTTAATGAGCACTCCTGTGTTTTACATTTGAAATAATGAATAGACTCCTGATGACCAATTAGTGTGCAGTTATGGGTCTGGCTGTAATTTTTAGTTTTTATTCTGGTTTACCACCTTAAAAATTAGATGTTGTTTTTTTTTTACACCTTTTAATAACTTGGCTGATTTTAAGACTTGCTCGTCTTGTAAGTGTTGTTTGACATCAAAAATGGGATTATTTTTCAACCAATATTGCAATTTTGATTTAAGCCACACATGTGATTCTTTATTCCAGGGTTTTTATTTTTTTATGACCTCACAGCTTGCTTGTCCAGAGACTTTTCTGTTACGTGCATAAATTTGTTCTGTGTGGTAGCAAACTTGGTTTTGGTGTATTACCAACACCTAAAGTTCTGGAGTGAGAAAGCAGGTGTATTACACCTGTAAAAATTTATCTAACCAAAATGCAGGGAATTAAAAATGGTGTTTTGTAAAAATAAAGATTATATTACAATTTGCATTGGGTCTGTAGACACACAAGTTACAGAATAATTATAAAACGAATGGGAAGACATGATTGGTTTTAAACGTTTTCACTAATAAAGATACTTAGTCTACTTTTGTTTTCAGATCCTTTAACAGAAAAGGCCTTAGATTGGGAAAGAGGTTCTCCTTCCAGAGAGACAGAGACTCTGATTGAGGCGAGGATGCAGTGGATTGGTTCAGATCCATCTGTTAGAATGGCCTAGTCAAAGTCCAGATACAAGTCCAATTTAAAACTGGATCGTTACTGATGCTTTCCATCCTGCTTAGAGAAGCTATGTTTAGAAGAGTAAAACCATTTTTACTATCTAGATTTGTGGATCTTAAAAGTTAATATTTTTCAGATTTTCTAAGGAAAGAATCAAATATTTTCTATTTTTTCTGTTTTTGCTTGTCTTCTGTGACTGTGTTCTTGGTGGAGCAGAGGTTCCAGGAAATCGAAGAGGCTCATCTGAGGCAGATGAAACAGTTGATGAAAAGTTACTCTCACTCCATAGAGGACACCCACGTCCAGGTGGGACAGGTATGTTCCACCGTACTTCAGATATCACTTTGATGATTGTAATTCTACTCCTGAGGAATACGTTCTATCTACAGCTTTGCCACATTTGTGTTTTTCAGTCGCCCTTTAAGATGCAGAATGAGTTCTGTTATTTTTGCTGGTCTATTTAATGATTTGGCAGAAGACACTGTTCCTTAGTTTGCTTTGGTTTTCTCTGCAACAGAAGTGTATCTAATTACTTCAGAATTAAACAATGTGGAATTTTTCTTTTTGAAATGTACTCGATTGTGTGAACCCTGTAGGTCCATGAGGAGTTCAAGCAGAATGTGGAAAATATCGGCATCGACATCCTCATTCAGAAATTTGCTGATCAGAAGGGAACGGGCAAAGAAAGGCCAGGTAGAGTGAGCTTAAACACATCGGCACAAATACTATCATCCAGCCTTTAAAGAGCCGTTTGCAGCAGCTTATGCAGCAAATTAAACTTTCACATTCATGATTTATATCGCCCTGGTATAACTTAACTCCCCTTTATGTTGCACTTTTAGCGACTTTGAAAGAACACATGCCTCATATGATCTATGTGAAGAGGGACTTTTAAAAGAAAAGGGAAAATTGTGGATTGTTCATGTCAATAAATGTTTTTTTAAAAAACAAAAAAAAAAAACATTTTGTTTTTGTTTTTTGGCTTGTAGCTTTGGTCGTGTTTGAGGAGTACATTTCAACTCTGACCCCTGAAGGCGGGAAGAAGACTCGAACAAAAGCCTTCAGGATACCCGGCCTCAGCAAGAGGGACAAGGAACCCGACTCTGCGTAAGTGTTTGTGGACTACAGGCTGCAAGAGGAGAGGAGGCTACGCTAGTGAGGAACTTGAACACAGAGTTTTGGACTCGACATCCAGTTATGAAATTATGACAAGCATAAGTCTGAGGTGACTAATGTCCCAAACATAATGTAGTTCAATTCAATTTAGTTTATTTATATAGCAGCAATTCAAAACACGTAATTTCAAGGCACTTTATAGAGACAATTCAACCAGCTCATACAGTCAGATTGGTTCAAAGTTTTCTATCTAAGGAAAACCAGGTGATTGCTGATTGCTTGACTTCACACACCAAGTTTGCATGTAGCGACAGTGGAGAGGAAAACCCCCTTTTAACAGGAAGAAACCTCCAACAGAACCAGACTCGGTGTGAGCGGCCATCTGCTGAGGCTGACTGGGTTTAAAGGAAACAGAAGCAGACACACAGAAGAAGCAGAGATACAAAATAAACTTGTCAACCAGCCCCACAGGCGGCCCCATCTTGGAAACACACAGCCAGGCAGAAGAGCTCCAAGCCCACACTCGCGTCAGAGGATGAAGAGAGCACATCCAGTCAGTCACTGTCAGAGAAACAGGACTACACTGAAAAACAGGCCTATAAACATCTATTAACAAAGATGTTGGTAGCAGCAGTACAGCTGATATTTCTCTCCAGGATTGTATCACAGCCAAACAGAAACAGACCAGATGAAGCTGCTATGAGAAAAGCAGAGAGAGCAGAACATTAGAGATTGAACTAACAAATACTTCAGATCCACTGGTTGAGCTTTTTGAAGCCTAGAAACCCTGAGAGGGACAGGGGTCCTTACCCATGTTTGTCAACAGACAAGGAGAATTGTTTCATTTTTTCATCTTTAATTTATTAATCTTTAACTTAAGTTATTTTAATCGTTTTATTCTTTACTTTGTTGCACTTGGATGTGGGCTGCCTATATAAAGTGCTATATAGATATAATTCAGTGTCATTATATTTTTTTTAATGATCTTTATCATTTCAACATGGTTTAGAATCTCATCTTTATTTTAGGGCCATTATCAAATCGCCTTTAGCACCAGACGGTCCTCTCATTTGAACATCTTAAACTTTGGACACCGATGTTTGTAGATCACCCAGAAGACGCCCACTTATTGCACATATAAAAAAAAAAAATGCACGGTCAGTTTAGTGCCTGTTACCTTGAATCTTTGAAGATTCTAAGTCAGTACAATGGCCCCAGATTTGCACAGACAATTTAGTCAAAGTAGTAAATACCATTGTCTCCACGGCGATGCAACACGACTAATAGGAGCCCTCCTTCCTCATCTGTCTTTCTAAAGACAACAAGAGACACACAGGAAGAGTGAAACTGATGTGTTGCATTTGAAAATGAGAGAGGGGCAGTGCAGATGCATGAATGCTGCAGTGTGGAGTGACGGAGGAAAGAGCAGAAACAGAATCAGTTTAAACCTCAGTTTACAGAGTTATGGGAAGCCTAACTAGGGACATCTGTCTAGGAGCTTGAATGTGCTCTCTACAAGTCTTGTCTGTCTCCAGCTATTCATGGTTCCAAATACCCACTGTTTATTAAAAACTAATCTTTTTAAAAGATCTCCTTGCTCTGCAAGTCTCTGTCTCTAAACTTTGTGGACTGTAAAGATCCTCCAACCTGTTCTTTATCTGGACAATGCGTTTTCCTCTAACAATGATGCACAAAAATAAATAATAAACTCCTAGCTCTGAATACACACAGCAGCTTTAGTGTTTACATTTTTTGATGGAAAATCAAAACCAGCACTCTTTAAAAAACAAAACAAACAAAAAAACAACCAGCTATGTTAAACCTCCTTTCTCTTCACTCGACTGTTTTTTGCCGCTGGGTTCATACTTGGCCCAAAGTAACGCCTGTGTTTTCTCCTATATTTACAGAGATTCTGCTGTCCCAGAGGCGCTGGTGAGTGTTTCACATATTTCACACTGAAATGCTCAAACCTAACAAACTCTGTCCGTATCCTGAATGCGAGATACCTACGCAGACTCGGGTGTTTCGAAGGCTTTATGATCTGTTACAGCCGGGTGTTTTCCTTACAGAGATGAGAAGGGAGAGATGGTGTGTGTTTGAATAATGAGATGGATGGTGTGGGGTTTCCCAGGTTTATTCCTGTACTTCTTGGAACACATTTCCAGGATTATCTTGGTGCAACAGTGGAAGTGATTATGTTCATTTGAGGAAATGTGTGTACGTGTTTTCCTACACGGGGGCGTGTTAAAAGCAGGGTCATTTTGTGTGTGAAAGGGCTTTGAACGTTGCCAGAAATGCCTCTAACAGACCAAGGATGAAGCAGAAGGTAAACAGAACGTCCTTAAACTACTGCAGCTGCTATTTTTATCATTTTCTGCACCTCTAGATGAAGCCACAGCTAGCTGCAAACTTTCTAAACATTTTCTATACCTGGAATTGAAGGTTGTTAGAACAAGGAAGCAGGTTTCATTCTTAAAACGATTCAGGATATATATATTTATTTTAAACTGAAATAACCATATTTGTTGTAAAATGTATGACTTTTTAATGCTAACGAATGATTGGATCAATTGCAAAGCAAATGCAAACATGCTATGTAAAGTTGGATGCAAAATACCTTCTATAATCATCAGTGTGATAAGTTATAGCAGAGCTTCCAGTAACTGACTTCAGTGCTAACATTTACCAAGCAGCATAAGTAGTAGCTGCATATTGAAGGATTTTATTTTTAATATCTGTAAAAATGAGACAAAGTAAATCATACAACATCAACATGCAGACTCATGTGGGATGCAAATAAAAGGCTGCATGTTTTATTTCAGTGCTAGCTTTTTAAAGGGACACTATGCAACATTTTTCAGTTAATTAATGTGTTCCATAACGTTATGGATGACTAAATGAGTCATTTCAGGTTGAACAAAGGTATTCTCGGACGCCCTGGTGGTCTGTGGGGGAAATACTGCACTTGCAACTGCAGGAGCACCGACCCGCACCCACAGGCTCAGAAGTCTCGTGAGAGTCAGTCTTGCTTTACGGCGAGAACTGCTACACCCCCCAGTTAAAAGCATGCTCGTTGCTAGCACAGTGGCAATCTTTGTGCAGTTATGCTACGTTCACGCAGCAAAATCAGCAAAATCGCGTCTGCTGCTTCATTTTTGCTGCTTGTACCAGTTAGTACTGACGAGCGGCTGAAGCAGTTTTGCTGCTCTGGCTGCAAAAGGGTGTCTGACGCGCGTTGGGCGAAGCTTCACTATCCTTTCTCTGCCTTGCAGTTATATTTGCTGTGATCAGTGGGAATAAAGTAGTTTTAATATGTGTTTAAGTGAGAAAATATACCTGAAAACGTAATCAGTGCCGTCAGTTCATTCAGATTATTATCCAGCCTTCAATATTTTTTCTGTCGGAGCCGCTCAGACCCCCACATACCAGGGATGCGCCGACATTATGGATCCCTTCATCAGCAGCGGTTCACGCGGCAGCTGGTAGGTGTTTTTCATCTAAATAATCCAAACTGCATATTCTGCCGGCAGATTTCTGCATTTTAAGTTAATTTAGGCGTCAATAAACTGTTTAAGAGCAGTGATCATCAGCGCTGTGTCTCTCTCCCTGTCTCTCACCCGACGCGCTGCTGCAGCCGCTCAGACATGCTGCGCCTGCAGCTCAAAACGCGCCGCGGGACCTTTGCATGTAAACTCGCTGCTTCTGTCGCGCCAGCTACATCCAGTGTGAACGCAGCATTAGTCATTCGCTGCTAAGCTCAAAACAACCGCGCCTGGCTTGACGGAGAAACCAGGTGAACAGCTGAGCATATTTACGACAGTGCACTTTTACTTTCGCCCTCTGGAGGGAGCCTCACTGGAAAATCAACACCGGTTGCATAGTGTACCTTTAACTCAGCTCATGCTTTCTGGCCACCTACAGATTTCTCATTTTATTGGGTTTCCTTTTCTCAGATAATCTTAAGAAATAGTTATAACTGATGACAGCCAATGTAGTCTGAGTATATATAAAATGCATTGTTTAAATAAAGATTGATTTTTATTGATGCAGAAAAAAAACAACAACCTGGTACTGTAGAAAAACGAATTGTTCCTGCGATGAGTTTAGAGGCTAGGAAAGTCTGTAAAGCTCCATTATTTAGATGCTAAATATTTTTTGTTGTCTGTTTTTTTTAGCTAAATCTCTATTTAAATGATAAGGCAGTTGAATGATTCTCTTTATATCATAGGAACAATAGCAGTTATGTTGAGGTCCTGTTAATGTGGTAGTTTTACTCTCTGATGCCTTAACAGGGCCTAATAATCCTTCAGAACCCATCACCACTGTTATAACAATGTGCTTTTACCCAAATGTCCAATTTAGGTTTGCCTTATTAGGTGAATGTGACATTATAACACATATTCCTCATGATTAGACTGATTTTATTATCTAACTACACAGTCGGCAGAAATAGACTTATTGTTTGATATTTATTGGTCCTGTAATGAATATGTTACTCCATGTACAGCAGTTATAACTGACCCACAAATTATTGAAACTATTTACTACCAAAGCTCTCTGTTGGTGCTGGGCTGGACTTCTGTCAGATATGCATCATTTGTGTCTGAGCTGCTGAGCAGCTGCTCTCCGTCTCCCTAAGTGTTTTTATTCCTGCTTTCACAGAATTCCCCGCTGGAAGTGGACGACGAGGGCTTTGTCATCCGAGCTGACAGCACTCAGAATGATATCCTTTTAGTTGGGTCCATCTGAGTATGAAGGAGAAAGACAGGCTAAACTGTTTCAGGATGGATTGGACTACAGGTTAGAAAAGCGTTTTGGAGGGCCTTCTCTGATCCGATATCTGTGGATGGAGATAAAATTAGGGTGATGGCAAGGAGGCCTTTCAACCTGAGAAAGCTGGAGCTCATCAACGAAATAATCACAATATCAGAGGAAACTTGCAAAAAGCTTTTCAGCAACCATAAGAAGGGTTGATTTTTTTCCCCCCAATAATTATATCCAATAATTTTTAGCACACTTTATCTGATAAAAAAATAGTAAAATGTCATATTTAAAATTGTTAATTCTTCTAGATTAATATTATCAATATAAATATGATGGGTTTTTTTTTTATCAGAAACAATCTTCATCTGAAAGTCGTTTTATATCTTCAGAGGATATGAATACTTTTAGGCTTTACTGTTTATTTAATTTTCTAAACAAACCTTAATAACTGAATTGGGTCTGTATGGAGGGAATTTTGCTTCATGTTCTTTTTATATTTCCAAACTTCATTTTTTGAAAATATTTTTTCCGCTTATGAAATCTTATTTTGTAATTTATTAATTTTTTTTCAGATTGATAGTCACAAAATCTATTCTTTTCAAATAGCATTTCACAGATCACTTCCTCTTCATAAACACTTGCTCATTGACCAATGCAGTGGTTTCACTGATGTCCATGCAGACCAATAGAGATGAGGCTCACTTCTTATTCCAGGGGAAAGCCCGCCCTCAGAGGTACAGAGAATTTGGACTGTTAAACACAATTTAAAAAGAATGCAGTTCTTAAAATTCAAGTCTAAAAAGAGAAATAGGAAATACAATTTTTTAATATAAAATCAGTAAAAAATAAAATAATTATAACATATGAAAATCTGTAAGAAAAAAATCAGAATATATAATTTGTAAAATATGAAAATATAAAAACAAAAAATAAAACTGGTCAAAAAATATAAAATCTGTCTAAACAGTGATTAAGAAAATATGGAAATATGGTTTCTAGATTGCAATATTTAAATCAAATCAGTTACCAAATGTGTTCTTTGTTTTCAACAATAATGAAATAAAATTCACTCCATAAGTCTGCAGCTAATTAATGTTTGTGAGTCAACTGAATAAAACATCCATATTAAGCTGGAGATATTCTTAATAAATAGGTAAACATTCAGGAAAGGTTATCTTAAATATTCATTGTTAATGCAAAGCCAAGCCGTTTAAGTCTTATTTATGTTTTCAACCTTCTTCCTGTATGTTTAACAGAACCAAGTTGAGGTAGATTCATCCCAGGGTGAAACAAAGCTCTTTTCAGATTATTGGTATTGTAGAAAAAAACAGTCCAATCTAATGTGATCACTCGTCTTCAAACTCCACCGTTTTCATCACACTATTTCTCAGTTTGAGCTGTTTTTTCTTGACCCTTCTTTCTTCCTCTACGCTGCTCTGAGAAGGAGGATAATTTCTACTCCAGTGATTCAGACTTTGATGACGAGGAGCCCAAGAAGTTCCACATCCAGATCAGACCTGTAGCCAGCAGCAGCCGCAGCAACTCTGTCGCCACCGAGAAGGAGCTGAAAGCCACAGTGGGGACGTTAACGCTGCCCAACAGAGGAACAAGGCAGCAGGTTAGTCTTTGGATCCCCTCTTGGCATTCATGCATTTTATAAGACTAGAGCAAATAATGGTTACTTTGAAAATAAAATCTTGCAAAAATGATGTTGAATAATGTTGATTTGTGTGTATTTTTTTTTTTATAGACGGTGAAGCGGCATCTCTCCAGTAAGTTGACTTCATTTAGTCCTGTTTTTGACATTTTCAGTTTTTAATGGTGGAAGCATACAGTGCCGCGAAGAAAAGTATTTCTTCTTGCAGTTTTCAAAAATTAATGACTTTTATTGAAGAGTAGGAGGCCATCTACAGTAAACCAATTATCTGGTTAGGTCACCCTGATTAAAACAGAAACCATCAAATGGACTTCGGTTCATTTTCCTGCTGCATAACAGAGATGACCTCGAGATTATAATTAGAAAATGATGGTTGGTCATTTTCCTAAGAGGTTTTCTGTTTGAGAGCAGAATTTAAGGTTCCATGAAAAACAAAAAAACAATTCCTCCATGTGGAGTAAACTTTGTGCTATTATTGTTGGAAACATTAAAAAAACATGTTCTGTAAATGGAAATTCAAAAAAAGCAATGAAACTTAAGACAATTTCTTAATCAAAAAAAGGTTTGAAGAGTAACTTTTTCTAAATTAAATTTTTTTCAAATATTTGTATAAAAATATTTTTAAAACGTTTTTGCACACTTTGTATTTAAAATGTTCTAAATTTCTGTTTTTTCAATTGAGTTTTACAAATTGTCAAATTGGTACTAGAAAACGCAATCTAAAAAAAAGATAGAATCTAAAAAATCAATTGATACTGACGGTAATATATAAAAGAAAATATGATGTAAAACAAAAAAACTGAGAAAACATACATTTTTATTTTATATTCAAGGAGTTTTTCAAACTGTCATTTCTGGAATGCTTGTTTTAAAATGTCCATTTATTAAAGGTGTTTTTTTACTAACGACTATAATGTAGCAACATTTTATCAGTACATCCATTATCTGTAGCAGTCCCAGACCATTACAGTAACCCCACCACTGTTTGACCTTAGATTTTTCTAGAACATCATGTTTGTGGCTTACAAATGGCTTTATAACCCTCTTAAATCTTTCGCAGTTTTTTATTTTTATTGGGGCAGAATCTATTTGATCTTATTGGCCATAGTTTGTCCTGTATGACAAGTTGTGTTTTTTTCGGTCAGGCAGTAATCAGAGCTCGCTTTGACTTTCCATGTAGAACTAACAGTTTTGTGAAATCTGTTAATATGTGGTCTTCATATTTTGTATAAACCCTGAGTCTCTGGGTCATAATGACTTGCTTTCACTAAACTCCAAATAAAAAGTTGCTTGATTGGATTTTAAACATCAAATCTGTTTTTACTGAAAGAGCAACTCGCCATTCAACAGGAACTGCGTGAAAATGCTCTGCCTTCAAGCAACAGAAAGACTCAATTTATCACGGATCTGCCACTCGCTGTATTTCTTCTTCTTCTACCATCTTTCTCGCCATTGTATTCCTCCCTATCTTCGCCTGATGCCTTATTTTGATCTGAATCATTCGTTTCAATCAATCTTTTCTAGAACCTGTGCTCACAATACTTGCCATCTCAAAGCACTTTACAATTCAACCAGATCATACAGATCAAATTAATTGCCAAAGTTTTCTATCTTAGGAAAACCAGTTGATTGCATCGACGGATTGACTTTAGGGGAATCCCTCACACTAAGCATGCTTGTAGCAACAGTGGAGAGGAAAACTCCCTTTTAACAGGAAGAACCTCCAACAGAACCAGACTCGGTTTGAGTGTCCATCTGCCGAGGCCGACTGGGGTTCGATTAGACAGAAGCAGAGGTACAGAAATGAGCAGAGATACAAAAGGAACTTGTCAACCAGCTCCAAAGGCGGCCCCATCAAGGAAACGCATAGCCAGGCAAACGAGCCCCGAGCCAGCTCCCATGGGAGAGGATGAAGAGAGCATATCCAGCCAGTCACAGCCAGGGAAACAGGACTACACTGAAAAATAGGCCGAGCTCCAATATCTATAAACATAGGTGTTGATGGCAGCAGCACAGCTGATATTTCTCTCCAGGGTTGTGTCACAGCCAAACAGGAACAGACCAGATGAATATATAATCAGAAAGAGCATAATGTTAGAGATTGTGCAGAGAGAGTGGGATAATATAGAATGAAGCAGAATGATAAAAAAGGGGTCCCTATGTCCTCCGGTAGTCTAAGCCTATAGCAGCAGAACTATACTATAGAGACTGTAACTATAAGCTTTATCAAAAAGCAAAGTTTAAAGCCTAACCTTAAAATAGACAGGGTTTCTGCCTCATGGACTAAAACGTATTTGGTTCCACAGGAGAGGAGCCTGATGACTAAAAGATCTGCCTCCTATTCTAATTTTAGAAATTCTAGGTACCACTAGTAAATGTGCAGATTGAGAGCGAACTGCTCTGTTAGGAACATAAGGAACAATCAGATCTCCTATATAACATTATCTGTTCATGTTTTTGGTTTTTATTCTTCTGTTGACAAATCTAAGACAGAACTAGAGTGTCTTCATGTTTCTCTGGCTTGCAGTTGACTGTTGTTAGGATTTCAATGCAAAATGACTAAAGATGATAATGTAACCTTTTTTTCATACAGCTTAAATGGGAATAAGAATAAAGGTGATAATATGCTGTTTCTAAAAGGGACAACAATCCAGGAAAGTCAATTAATTTTAAATTTATATATATTCCGATTTTTTTTTTTTTTTTTTGATTGACTGGAAGGTTACAGGAGGGTTTGGGGAAAAAATATATTAATAAAAATATATTTAATCAAAAATATAAAAATATTATTTTCCTTCATGGTTATTTTAAAGTAGGCTTCCAATGTAAACTATGCACTGTGTGTTTGACCAAATCCTGATGGTTGAAATCTTTTGCTGCATCGCTGAAGGAAACTCCAGCTCAGCAGGAGGCCGATCAGAAGACAGCGAGGCTGCCTCTCATCGGGGTGAGTCAGCAGTTCATATTCAAACCGAAACTGTAAATCAACTCAAAGTGAAATGACATTTGTGACGCTAGTGACTTCTTGTAAATCCCCCTTTGCTGAGAACATGAGTGTTTATCCATTAGTTAACTAATCTATATTCAGATGTTATATCCAAGAAACAAGAAAATCTGACCTTTTCCTTTCAGATATTCCTATTTTTGATATTTTTTGCCTCCGTTTTTGAAGGTGATGATATTTTTATGTGGTTTTACAGCCAGGTCAGATCTGTTTAGAGGCTTAAATTTTCTATTTGTATCATTAATGGTTTCCCAAACAGCTCTAACTGCCTCAGTTTTATCAGCTGAGTCCTAGCAGAGGAGAGAATAGTAAATCTCTTCATTAGTTGACCTTAACACGAGCAGCTCCTCTCCTATTAGTCTCAGGTGACGCCACTCGTGCTCTAAAGCTTGATTTATCACCAGTCCGATCGTTATCTGCCAGTGGGTTTGGCAGGAGTGGGAGGATGGATCCTGCTGCAGTCCAGCTGCAGGGAGTCTCTCTCTCTGTGGTAAATTCAGCAGCAGCAGATTAATTTGCTGCTCCACACAAGGATTTGTTGGAGCTCAGTGATACCAGGCTAACTGCTTGTATTTATTGCAGAGGAGGTATTGGCTGATGGGTTCTTCTTCCCTTGTCGCCTTCTCTCATCGCTGATTGCTCCTGATTGAGCAGCCTCCTCCTCCATCGAGTCAGTTGATCTCATTTGTGTGCCATCTCTCTGCAGATGGGGAGCAGGAAGGCCTACGCAGGTCCTCCTCCAGCCCTGATCACAGCAGGTGAGGAGTCCTTCGCCTCGTTGCTTTTTTTCCCCCCCTCTGTATTTGTCTCTTTGCAGCTCAGACACATTTAGAGGTGGATCTGTATCATTAGTGGCCTCGTCGGCTGCCTGAAACTCTCCAGGCTTTCACCTTGGCCCCTTGGCTTGATTCATTTATTTTTATCCGTCCTCAGTTCTGTGCTCAGCGGGCAGATACACAACAGAAAACCATTTGGCAGTGCAGCGACCATGCATCAGGAGATATCCTGAAATGATTGAATGTTAGAATGGTCCAAAGTCCGGATGGAAATCAGATCACTACCTTTCATAATAATCTGACTGAGCTGCTTTGCAAAGAGGAAAAGAAACAAAAACACATCACAGCTTCATTTGTGTTCTGTCACATGCAGGCTCCATACTATTGTATATTTTAGGATTTGTTCTGTTTTATATTGTTCTATTTCATATCTATTGCATTTAAATAAAAAAAAAACAAGTAATGACTTTAATTCAGTTTCACATAATCACATAACCTTTCTTGATTGTGAAATGATTGTGATAAAACCATAGAACTACAGTCTGTCACAGTCGTCCTCTTGGTGTCTTCCTGTGTTTTCCATAAGCCTGTTTCTCTCTCTATGTTGTCTGACTTTCTGCTGGTTCTTCCTGGTCAGGTTGGGTTCTACAGCGTCTGGTTCAGACAGCCTGTTCGGTCCTCCGCTGGAGTTGGCCTTCAAGTCCAAAAGCTTCGACAACCGGGATCAGTTCAAAGAGCAGAACACCTTTGGTGCCTCTGAATGTGAGAAAAGTTGATTTCATCCTGCTTCACTGCGAGATAAACATTATATAGACCTCATGGTCATCTGCAAGAGGAATATTTGCTGCTGTGTTTACACAAGAATTACAACTAAAATAGTATCACTTATTTTATTTTAATAATGAGACAGAAATATTCTTACAGCTGTTAATCTAAGAAATACTATTTATTAGTTCAACATTTGTAATTCTTATAGGTAGAGCTAATACAGTAATACCAACTATAACATTTATTTCTATATTAGACTTACAAAGATCAACTACCGTATTTTCCAGACTATAAGCTTCTTTTTCCCATGCTTTGAAACATACAGCTTATATGAAGGTGCAGCTTTTATGTGGATTTTTCTTTAAGCACCAGGCAGCAGATGTCAAAGTAAAAAAAAAAATCCAAGAAGAAAGCACCTATTTTCATTTAGCATACGCACATACTAGCAGCAGGTATGATGAAGAACAGATGTCTCAAATTCACACATTTTGACATTTATCTCCTGCATTGAAGCTGCAGAACCAATGAAGAAGCTGGACACAACTTCTGCAGAGCTGAAATAAAGAGCTGCAGAAGCCCACCTTTCATTAGAAGCTCATACAGATGGCCGCTCACACTGAGTCTGGTTCTGCTGGAGGTTTATTCCTGTTAAAAGGGAGTTTTTCCTCTCCACTGTCGCTACAAGCATGCTTGGTGTGAGGGATTGCATTCTAGTCAATGGGTCAATACAATCAACTGGTTTTCCTTAGATAGAAAACTTTGAATCAATTTGACTGGATTATCTGGTTGAACTGTAAAGTGTCTTGAGATGACATGATAAATCGGCGCTATTTAAATAAACTGAACTGAAATTGAATTGAATTGAATTAGAAGCTCTTACTGCTGCAAGCCAACAAGCTAAGTTCTTCTTCCCTATTCTAGAGGCAATATGCAGAGCTCCCCCTACTGGTTTGGTCGGGGACAGTTCAGTAGATATCAGCAGCCTATAGCCCTGTGATGCTTAAATATGTACGTTTCCAGTTAAAAAACTAAATAACTTTGTGGCTGTGGCTTATAGTAATATGTGCTCTATAGTCCAGAAAATATAGTTATTATAAATGTACACAGAATTTTATTTTTGTTCCTATTAAGAGGAATGTTCCACCTTTCTTCTGTTAAACTTTAAAATAAAGTGACACTTAAAACACTGAATCCTTTTTTTTAAATTGTAAAACGAGAGTAAATTCTGATAATTTGACGTCCATATCAATGTAAAGACGTCAGCCCAGCAGACTGCTCCCTATTCTCCTGATTATTATCCTGTAAATGTCGTTAATGCATCGTTACCAGAAGTTAATTTTCAAGGATTTTGGACCCGTCAAAATGTATAAAACAATCATTTATATACTTTATTTTTTCTGTAAAAATAATAATTTTATGTTGCACCTCTCTAGATGTAAATAAATTTTAAAAATGTTAATTGTTTGTATGAAAATTTTCTAGCCCTGACCTCTAAATAGAAGCATTCGTATATGTTCATAAATTAGGTTAAATAAATCCTCTTTGGTTCTTTTGTTTGGTTTTCTCCCTGTTGTACGTTCAGGTGGTTTTCTTACACCAACATGTTTTAATTTACGTTCCAGATGCTGCCTTCTCATCTGACTCCTCATCACCAGAGAACGTTGAAGACTCTGGTTTGGACTCGCCTTCCCATCAGCCTCTGGGACCTTCTCCTGAGCTGGCTGGCTGGGCCGCCTGGCCGCCTGTGTCTCAGATTAAAGAACAGACACCAAGCCGACCTGTGGATCCTTTCTTCTCTGCTTTCCATGAGCCTTCTTCTGGTCGCACTTCTAACCACCAGGACGACTCCACCAATGTCTGGTCTGTCGCCTCGACACGTCCGTCACGGGCCCCCCCAGATATGGACGCCCCTTCTGTGCGGTTCCCAGCCTTCTCCCAGTCCCTCGGTCCGCCGGAAATGGAATCATCTGTGTGGAACTGCAAACACATCCCCACAGAGGATCCCTTTTTCACCAGCTTCGACAGGACCGTCACCCAGGAGACTTTAAACCTGTCTGACGCCTGGACGCGGCCCCCTCCACGCCGTTCGCAAGAGGTCAGAGGAAAGGAAGGCCGTGGCGACCCGTTTTCTGCTGCCCTCACTGAAACCAAGACTCTCCTCCCTCCTTCTTCCTCCTCCTCCTCATCATCTTCCTCCAATCGTAAAGAGCGAGAGAGGAAGCGGGACCGCAGCCTCCCCCCGCCCGTCACGTCTGATGACCCGTTTGCCATCACCATGATTGGAAGCCCCACCCACCAATCATCTCTGGCTGCAGCAGCCGGGACGCTTCCCTCACACAGCAGCAGACTGGGAGTCGATCCCATTAGCAGCTCCTCACAGTCAGCTCAGCCGAAGAAGGAGACGACCCACTGGAAGTCTGTCCATAACCCGTTCAACGACGGCAGCAGCTCCAGGCCACAGGAAGGAGGAGAGCGTAGGAAGCACAGATCATCAGAGAGCGAGCCCCGCAGGAACGCCCCTCCCCTCACCAGGCATTCAGGACCCCAGGAGGACCTGTGCTTCTCCACAGACAAAGATGAGGACTGTCTGGATCTCAGCACCCAGATGACGACCTGCAGCATCGGTTCCAATAAAGGTCACTGCTCTGTTCTTCACGTTAACATGGTTTCAGATTCAAATAGTGGCCTATAAAATAAATACTCATCAATCTATTCATTTATCAGCATACATGTTGAAATACCTCGAAGTATCATTACCCCCATATGGAGGACCAGAAGTGAAAAAGAAACACGACAATTTCAGATTAAACTTTAATTCATTGATTTAGAAATCCGATTTAAAAAGCATTTTAGGATTCCCCATTTAAATAAAATTTAATAGTAATTGTATTTTTTTTATTTATCAATCTATTATTAAATATTTTGAAAATATAAAAAATGTAAAACATATTTTCAAATCCTACTAAATAATAATAATTCTTTAAACTAATTATAAATATTTCTCCTAATCAAGTATTTAAAAACTTTGTGAGTTTGAAAAAGCAGTTTTATTTTGATTTTACTTTACTCTCTTTTAGCATTTCTATGACCCAACAACAGCTTTTTTACAGTTTAACTACAGTCTGTAAAAAAGATGAGTAGCAGCTTTATAATATAATGCAGCTTAAAAGCTGCATATATATATATATATAAAACATTTTTTTATAATTATTATAAATCTTAACCCAAAATTAGAGTTTAGAATCAAAATGGTCACAAACATTAGGAAAGGTGTAAAAATGCAATGTGATGGGCATTTTCACCAAGAATAATCTAAAAATATTGTGGCCAAATGGGAAATTACTTGGTGAAAGGACTTCTATCATTTAAAATCTGGAATTGCAGTATTATTAAAAAAGATAAGCAATTAGAAATATGAATGAGTAACTCAAACAGAGTGGGAGCTAAAATCCTTTAAACAAAGCGATAAAAAGAAACATTAAAGTGTTTCAAAGTCTGCTTCTGGAACTGAAAAAAAAAAACAGAAAAAAAACACATGTAACAAAACAAAGATATAAAGGTGATGAAAAAGCGTTGACTTTTTGTTATGTTGCATGTTTGAGAAGAAAATAAATACCAGTCCACTAAAGATGTCCCCATCTCAGCAGTGACGTGTTACCATCAGTAGATCTTTGGCTCTCTCTCCATCTAAATACTGCATTATTAAACTGATTTGATTCCTCACTGCTACAGTTATTGTTTGCAGGATGATGAAAAATGGTGACAATTTATAGACTAGAAAATCATTTCCAAACACTTAGAATACAAAACAAGAGCAGAACAACAGACATAAATTTAAATATATTGTTTTGTGCTAAATAACTTTAATAAAGCTTGAAAGATTCAGTTTAGGCAACTAGACATGGCGTTTCCTAGAAGACGTTTAGTTTCTCATCCCACATGTTGTGTAGGAGAGATCAGAGCCGCCTTTTTTCCCCCAGCTCTTTGTTCCACCTACAGTACATTAATCTCACTGCTCCTCACCATAAGTTAGAACTGAAGAAGATTCTTAGATGAAAAGCAAAACGTCTTGAAAACTTCACGTCTAGTTGCTACACTGAAACTTTCAAGCTTGAAATTTACTTTATTTGACATTTTTTCTGAAAATCTTTGACCTTTGATGTGATTTTTCTTGTTTGTTTTATTGATGTTTGTTTAACTAGAAGAAAACTTCTCAATCGACATGTTGGAACTTTGTTTCATAGAAATACTTCAGGTCTTTCTGCTGTTAGCTTAGCGTGTTCATGAGGCTTTTCTTTCCTTTCTGCTGATTGGCTGTTTTTCTCTCCATTAGGCTCTAAGCATAACCACAGGTCGGACACAGCTGAAGCGGTTCCAGCTGCTCCTCATAGAGGGAACCGAGTCAAAAGGTCTTCAGCTCGACTCAGTGGCACTGAGAGGGTGAGCCCCCCCCCCCCATCTAATCCATGAGGGGCCCTTAAAGATGGCGCTCATCGTGTGTCCCTCTGTGTTTCAGTCCCGCTCTCTTTGTTCCTCACCGTTGCCGGAGCCCAGCTGCTCCCTCACCTCCTCTTCCTCCTCCAGCCCCAGCGACTGGGGGACTCACGCTAGAGAAGGAGAGTGGGGGGTACAGAACCGAGGACCCAGTCCTGCCAGAGGGGGGCAGGCCTCCCCGCTGCCTTACCAGCACCAGGACCACCAGCCGAGGCAAAGTAAGTTAGTTGTGTCAATGAAGGCTCAAAAGGCTGCAGCCAAAATAATCTGTGGATGAAAAGGTCCGAAGAATCGCAGATTATCCAAGTTAAACTGTTCGGACTCATAGGCGGATCTACTGGGGTGGCATAGGGTGGCAAATGCCACCCTAAATGACAGCTTTGCCACCCCAGCTGCCACCCCAGTTGGCGGTAGGGGTGGCGAGGCTTATAAATTATGGATCATTTGAGAATTACGGCCGCTAATTTCTAATGTCGGACTGCAGTGAATGCAGCACGAGATGACGTGAGAGCAACTGAGACTGATTGTTTTGAAAACCGAATGGGGCAAAGCGAGGGAGCCAGGGGTGATGGGGAGAGGAGACACGGGATGAAACAGGTAAAAACTGATTAACTATCTATCGAGAAATGAAATCATAATGAAAGCACAATGTTGCTAGCATAGCTGCAATGTTGATTTTGAGATGATAAAAATCAGGTTGCAGAACGTTATTTCTCTATCTATGATGTTAGGCCTGACGTCTCAGGCTCATAAAGACATATTTACGGTCAACTATGACAGAAAAGAGACTATCAAGTTTAGTTAAACTCAAATCAAAACGCACAAAGGGATTGGATCTAAATAAAGTTGTGAAGCGTTTTGCTGAGCAACATGGAAATCACTGCATTCAGCTGTTATAGTCATGTTAACTTTATGTTATGCTCTTTGGTGAGCCTTTACAGAGCTGTTACATTTTGTTTTGGCACTTGAGAAAATCTGATATTTCCTTTAATAAAACCAAAAGAGTTAAAAGTTAAAAATGTGATACTGGTGTGAATCCTGCTTAATATGAAGCAGTGTTGTTGTTTCTTTTTTTTGTATATATAATATGAAACTATCCAGAAATGACTCGTATGAACCTACTCACAAGCAAAATGTATTTTTATGTTGCTTCTGTTCAGATTTGTGGAGATTTTGATGTAACATACAGAACCCGCCTTTTTGTTGATTTGTTGATACAGCAGTATGGAGGACCAACTCTGCCATATTTAAAAATAAATACAGAAATAAATAAATGCTTAATAAGTAAATAAGCATACAATTGATTGCCACCAAAAATACAAACAACAAATAAATGTAAGTAGAAATTAAATTATACAGCTAGTCATAAAGGTATATAACTCTTTTTATTTCTTTGCCTGTTTAATATTTACCCTATTTATTTTTTTGTCATTTATTATCTTCAACTTCATTTTTTAATTACTTATATTTTTAAGTATTTATTTATGTGCATGTTATAATATTTTTGTCTGTTTTATTCTTCCTTTGTATTTTTTTACCCTAGTTATTTCTTCGCCGCTATTTCTTTCTGCCTGCCCTTTTAACATTTCTGCCTGCCATTATAATATAATTTCTAATTACATTTATTTGTTGATTGTATTTTTGGTGGCAATTAATTGTATGCTTATTTATTTATTGAGCATTTATTTATTTCTGTATTTATTTTTAAATATGGCAGAGTTGGTCCTCCATATGCAGCTCTATCTACAGCATATTTACATGCATGAAATGTCCCTTTCATGTTGCCTTAACTGCTGTATGTCAAGTTACTGAGGAACAAATGGGGTAAATGCGTGTTCAGAGTAAACAATACATAGATGTCCAGTACCTTGTTCGGGTGCCTTGACCCATTTATTTCTACTGTGTAGTGATGCTCACTTTAGTCCAGCTCAGTCCATAGATCTCTGATGGGAAACTTTTTCTTTCTATAGTTTCTTCTTGGTCAAATGCTGCAAAGCTGTCAGTCAATCTCACACATCTACTGCTCAGCACCTGTGTCTTACCTTAATACCTTTCCTGTCATAATGTCCCTCTAGAAGTAGTGTTATCATTCTTCTATCTCCTATTAAGTGAGATCACATTGTATGATGTATTATTAATATGAACTGTTTCACATGAAACACTAGTACTGTACATACTATTCTCACCAAACTGTGATAACTGTGATTAAATTCAGTGTAAACAAATGCCATATGTTGCCACCCCTAAAAAATTCCTGCCCCCCTCTTGCCACCCCATAAATATTTTTCTAGATCCGCCCCTGTTCGGACTAGAAATAAACATGGAGCCTTGAGATAGTTTTCCAACTTAAGACACAATGTCAATGTCTAACTCGGTCAATATCTTGGATTCAGTCCAAAATAGCCAGACTATTGTTACGCTACATAATATACCATAGGATACATCGGCTTATATTTGGATTTTCTTGGTTAGTAAATCCACTGACTGTGAAATTAGCTGTGAATCGTCTCCCACAACCAGGAAACTGCTTGTTTTTGCAACCAAATGCACACAGGGAGGCATTTTTACTGCGCATCTCCGTGGGAGTGGGGAGTACCAATATGGCGGCCGATGGCTTCACTTTTTTCGGGCTATCAACAATCCAGTGAATAGAGATTAGTGGTTGTGAGTTGTAGAATAAAGGTTAGAATTAGCGTTAGCATAGCTGGCAATCACAAACGCAACAACAGGGTGAGAGCCTTAAATCTCACTGATCGTTAGGAGTTAAATTTGTTGCTCTCACCTTTAGGAATAAAAAGGGAGGGACGGCGTCACTCCGACCCATTTAGACCCTCATCTCCAAAGGAAAGCAAATGTGATTTATCAGCCAGCTTAGATTCAAGTTAATCTATTTTGCAAACGAGAATGGACAAACTAAACCTGACTTGAATCTGTAGGAAACGATTAGGCTGAATGAAATGCAAACCATGCTTTCTATTTTAAAAGCATGTTTGTTTTGCTTCCATTCCACCATAAAGATATACGATATAAACACAGTTTTTAAGACAGAAATGAACATTTACTCTATCAAGAGGAGTCATTTAAGCTGCCAGAGGCCATTTAGTCAGAAACACTCCACATATTTGAGGTTTTTATGTATAAATTCATTTTCAGTTAATCTACAGTAGGATGAAGCCCCTCCTCATCCTCCCTGTTAACGTTTGTTTACTTGTTCCAAACGTCTGTCCTCTCCTCAGTGCACCTGTCCAGAGGTCCAAGCCCCATTTCCCTCAGCACACAGGACGCCTGGCCGGTCGCCGCGGCGATAACCGAGTACATCAATGCATACTTCAAAGGAGGACAGCACAACCGGTCAGCATGGAGATGTCCTGAGGAGATCGATTTAATAAACAGGATAAACTTGGCTGGTTACGTCAAACTGTTTGTTTTTTTTTTCTCTCCAGGTGTTTGGTGAAGATCACAGGAGATCTGATGATGTCCTTCCCAGCAGGGATCACCCGGATCTTCAATGCCAACCCCAACGTTCCTGTGCTCAGCTTCCGGCTGGTCAACATCTCCAGGATCGATCACTTCCTGCCCAATCAGAAGCTGCTCTACAGGTCAGCCCTCCCCTCCTTCTACCCTTATGAACCATCTTCTTCTTCAGCTCCGTTTGTTGGTTGGTGGTTTCACCGAGTCCGTTTCCTCTCAGTGATCCGTCCCAGAGTGACCCAGAAACCAGGGACTTCTGGTTCAACATGCAGGCTCTGCAGCTCTACCTGCAGAGAGAGGCGGAGCTTAACCCGCAGGCTTCCTACTACAACGTCGGCGTGCTCAAGTACCAGGTCTGAAAGTCTGAGGATTTTCTTTTTTTCTTTTCTTTAAACAGAAAAAATCCTGCTAAATAGAAACCAGCTGGATGTAGAAAACCTTTTCTTTTAGGTTCCTTTAGACCTCTGATCTGTTTCCCTCAGGTTTCTTCACAGGATCCGGGCCGAGCTCCTCTCCTGTTATCGGCTGAGTGTCAGCGCAGCGGCACGGTGACCCGAGTGTCCCTGGATTATCACTGCTGCCCCGCCACGGCGCCCTCCACTCAGCTCACCTCAGTCCAGGTCCTGATGCCTCTGGACCACAGCGCCACAGACGTGCAGTGCCAGCCACCCGCCTCATGGTGAGCAGAGAGCCTGCTGGCCCAGAGGACCCGTCACATAGAACTAGAATGAACAGAACCCATTTACTTTGAGGTGTTCATATTGCAGCAGCTAAGTTGTTCATCTTGTGACCCAATCGATACGGTTTTCTGACGGTTCAGGGTCTTTTTAAGGACCAGGAAAGATGTAAGGAACTGAGGGGTTCTGGGGCTCTTAATGTAGAAACCAATTCTAGATTAAAAACAGCTGTGTTGAAATGGGCCTGGAAGGAAGAACCTTTTTGATTTAATCCTGAATTATTCAAGCTCTGTAGTGTGTGGAGCGACTGCTGCTGGATGATTCATGTTTTACATTTCATCAATCCTATAGCTGATAGAAACTCTTGACTTAAACGAAAAGGTGGACTTCTGCGGGGGAAAAGGGAGAACAGCTAATCTGAGGTCCAGATTACGGCTCCTAAACAACCCAGGATTACGGAGTATTCAGTGTTTTCAGTTTGGCTGAAGCAGCGACGTTGTAACATGGCCGTGGCTCCTTCTGCATCCCGCTTCACTATTTACTGACTTTAAATTTCCGTCCCTGCAGGAACGCTGAGGAACGTCGACTGCTGTGGAAACTTCCCAACCTTTCCCCGACAAACCACAGCAAAGGTCAGAGCCCTGCTTCCTCATTCCGACTAACCTGGAGCCGTCTCAGCCGCTTCAACTGTTTAACACCACAACATAAGAATCATAATACATTTTAGTTATGTATGCTCCTGTGCAGCTAAAAGGCAGGAGCAGGATGGATAATCTGAACAGATGCTTTCAGACATTGAGCAGTGAGAGTAGAGGATGGGAGTGATTGGATCGTAGGAAGGTTTGGGTGATGAATCAAGCGACTGCGTTCTGAGAGAAGAAGAAGAGGGGATTGCCTTAAGGAAGACTGGAAAACAATGAGAGAGAGATGGAGAAGTTATTATTGCAAAGGTGATAAAAAGCAGATGGAGTAACGTTGCTGTAGAGGATGACAATGTGACGGGTCACAAAGAGCTGTATCAGATTGAGGAAGAGTTTAAAGGATGGCTGCTTAAAATGATTGGGAACCAGTGACTGAAACAGTATAATCCAGAGGGGTGAAGGAAATGATGAATAAAAAGGCTGATCCTTGAAGGACAACAGTAAAAAACGACTGAGGTGCTTCCAGAGAGATTCAGCTTGAATCGGTCTAAAGGGATAACAGGAAGGCTAACTGAGACAGAAATGAGTAAAAGGCTGAATCCTTTCTTCCTCCCTCCTCCTCTCAATTTGTTCTTTAGGGGTTTTTCCGACAGGCAGTAGTCCAGTTGTTTTTTTTGGGGTTTTTTTTGGAAGCACACATAGCCTAATTAATATTAATATATTAAATTTCCAACTGGGATCAGCTTCATAGTCATGGTAGGACACTTCTTTGATTTGATTCATTTTGCTCAGGCTACTTGTTAGCCCCCAGCCAAATGTTGAAAGGGCAATATTATTACCATTACTGTTAATATATAGTAGGGGTGTGGGAAATAATCGTTTTGGTGATATATCGCTATATTCGGCTGCCCAATATAATATCGATCTTTCACTTCTTAGTATTGATAGAAAAAAATGGTTACATAAAACATTGATGGGAAAATGGGCTACCTCTGCACCCCCACTCTGGCAGAAAGCGCTGTGGAGCCCTTTAACTGTGCGTGCAGCACCAAATCTGTATTTAATTCAGTCACAGTGGAAGAAAACCCCAAACAACATGGATAATAATACCTAATCAATATTTTCTGGTGAAAATATACAGCATTTGCTGTTTTATCTCATCATTTGATTTTGATAGCTGGGGAAAATATGGCAATATATAGTGATACTGCAATATCGTGATAATATCGTATCATGACCCACGTATCGCGACATGTATCGAATCGAAACACTCATGCCAATACTCACCTCTAATATATAGTAGAAATTTTACACATTCAGTAATAAAATATCACAGGGGATGGTTTGGGGGGAGGGTCATTTAAGAAGGGGGAATGTCACCCCCCCCCCCCCCCCCCCCCCTCGTCTCGAGTACTGCTTTTAAAGTTTAAATGTCTAAAAAGGTTTTAAGGTCGGTGTAGGTTAATGTGATTGTACAGAAAAGAATAAAGGAACTATAAAACGATTCATATCGCAGTATTCTCAAACAATAAACAAAGTTCCGCTTCCCCCAAATTATAAACAAGATAATCTTTTTAATGTTAAATTGTCTCTATGCTTCTCAAGCTGCTTCTTTTCCTGTCGCTTTGTTGCCGTCCTCATCAGGATTTTATTTATTTTTAACTGCAAAAGTTTCTAAACCTGCATGAACATTTTCTCCTGCTAAATAAGCGGCTTGATGATCAAGGTGTGCTGTGTGTCCCAGGCTCAGGGACGCTGTGTGCCAGCTGGCAGTGCCTGGAGGCCCCCCGCGGCCCCCCGCCCAGCTTGGCCGTTCAGTTTGTGGGCTCTGGGACGTCGCTGTCAGGCATGGATGTGGAGCTGGTGGGGGCCCGCTACCGCATGTCGCTGGTCAAGAAGAGATTTGCCACAGGTGGGACTAACATCCTACATTTAGAGCAGCAGACATGGACAGTTCATAGATGGATTTTATTGAACAGACCTTTCATGTCAATGACTTGGATTAATTAGAAGTCCAAGTATCACTGCAACTTTTACAGTCTGATAGAAACATTTTCATTTCAGCTTTTAAATTATTTAGGATTCAAATCATGATTGTTTCAAACTGATAAATTGACGTTATAGTTGTGGTCTAATAAATCTGCTGGCTTCTAACTGAGGTCTCTCTCCCACAGGGAAGTACATGGCCGGCTGCTCCCTGTAAACCTGAGCAGGAACCATCAGGTTCCTGAACAGATCCTCGCTGCTGGTCCTCAGAACTTTGCACTTTTCAGAAGCTAGCTCCGTCACGTAGGACACCGTGCGCTTCCACCACGTCCTGCTGTTTTAGGACCAACCTTTTTCCTGTAAATACTTTTTTTTCTTTCCCTTCTAACTTGGGTTGTTTGTGGTGCTTTTAACTGTTCGGCCGTTTTCTGGAGAGAAACTGTTTTTAAACGAAGCTGCTTTGTTCAGACTCTGTTTGGATTGAGAGACTGGAAATACGCAACATGTCTTTCAGTGAATTATAGAAAATATTAAAGTGCTGATTTGAAATAAAATAAAGTATTGAGCTGTGCTGCCATGAGGGTATTTAAATAATGTAAATAATGTATCTTTGTACCAACCTGAAGGATCAAGGAGACATTTGTTTGATCTTCTATCAAACTATAGAAAAACCTGTTTGTAAAGCAGATATTTGTTTTAAGTAGAAATTTTGTGTTAAGAATTGATAAAAGATAATAAATAAATAAATGTGTTCAAACCATTTGGATTTCCAACAGTTTATTAAACATTGTGACCAAGTACAAAATACAGTGAAGGTATGCAGTTTATTACAGATCTGTCCTTAGGCTAGCTGAAGTGTCAAGAACAGGTTTAAAAATACACTAAATAAGTTCCGTATACTTGTGAGAAGAAACTAGTTCAATAGAAAATAATCTAAAACAGTTTTACAAAACGTTACACATAGAAATAATTTCCTCCAAAAGCACTTTAAGGCAGATTACAGTGACAGGCACGAGTTACTAAAAGCCTTAAACAACTTAAGACTCTTGTTGCTACGACAACATCCTCTGAGGGGGAAAAAAAAATATACGATTTCAACACAAATCCATCAAATTTCATAAATAGGAATTTTTTTCCAGACATTGTGGGTAACTGCGGCCAGCAGCTGGTCTGCACTGATAAACTTAAGTTTTAGACATTTAACATCAGAGTTCAGGCTGCAGTCTGAGCTGCTCTACGGAAAAACAGGAAATTATTAATATGGTTCCCCAAATAACACACTGGATTATCCTGTTTCACTCAGACTAGAAAGACGTTAAATGGAAAATGAGTTTTCGAGGCTCGGATCTGTTAAAGGTTCTAGGTCCAAAGATCTAACATGGAGGATTCTGAACATCCTGACACAATCCTGTTGGTTAATCTGGAATATTTCCAACTCCAGAATAATTTAGGATGTTATTCCAGCTCTATGTAGACAAAACCCTGCAAAAGTATTCACAGCCCTGAATAATCTACCTTCTGGGAAAGAATGATTTATTTTACACAAATAAAACCAGAAACATTTTGTATAAAGGGGAGCATTAATCAGGGATGCAGCCAAAGGTTTAAGGCCACTCTGGAGGAACTGCACAGAGCAGGAGCTAAAGTGGAATCAGTTTTTTTTTTATGCTGGATTGACCCAGAAAAATCCACAAAAAGGTCCAATTAGCCTCAAGATTCAGCAGTAGTGTTCTAGTTGCATGGGGAAAAAAACTTGACTGCTCTTCCCTAAAACACACCACCTTAACTTTATAGCATGGAGATGGTAGCATCATGCTAAGGGGACGCTGAAGCTCATTAGGAAGGGGTGGAAATGAACCCATTCTAGGCTAGTTCTGAGGTTCAGCAGTCAGAGCTCCACGGGATTGGTTCAGTCAAACCCCTGCAGCCTTTGGCTGAACCGCTTCTCCAACTGGCCAGCTGAGGAAGGAGGGATGCCTCTAAAGAGCAGGACAGTCATTGGGTAATCCTGGTTCAGATCTAAATTCAGCTGAGAATTTTTGGATTTAATGTTGGTTTGTGCTCTACAGACAATCAGACATAGCCTGAGCTAATTAAAAAAAGTTTCTGTCTGCAGATGTGCAAAACTGGTAGGAAGCCTGCAGACTGAAGACAATCTTTTCAGATCCTTTATAATTATGCCTGACTTCAAATTGTAATAAAGAACTTCAAGGGGTTTGAAAACTTTTGCAAGGCTCTTTATATGATCAATGGGTGACCTGAGAGCTTTCTAAGAATAGTTTTTTCCCTAAATATATGTAATTGAGCCAAAAGGAGCACAGCATAGAAACATTTAAGGTAGAAATCCAAGGAGTTTCAATCCCTGATAATCTCTGCTGCTTCAAACAGAGGCAGCTGCTGGGAATAATTCAAGGAAAAGTCCTTTGAGTTCGTAGGCTTCAAGCTCCAGCTTCTAACCGTTTCCTTTTTAATGCTACGAGGAGCAGCAGAGGCAACAAGGAGAGCAAAACTACAACCAGACCAGAGTAGAAAGTGCTCTGAGAGTTTGAGGTTTGAAGACGATACATTCATACTGCGGTTGAGGCACAGCTGAGGGACAGATTGACATCTGTAGCGGTGATTTCAAAGGTAATCTAAGGCACTCAAAGGACACTATGGCGCAACTAAAACAATTTTTTCAAAATCAAAACAGGAACAAAGACGAACCACAAACACCGCCATTTAAAGTTACACATCCAATAATAATGAGAAGCTACTGCACAGAAGTAATTCACAGTTCCAACAAAAACAAAACATCTCTTACACAACTGTGACTTAAAAAAAAAAAAGAATAAACCTAAAGGGAGAACCCTTCCTCCTCCTATTTACATTGCACACTTGCTGCAGGAGAAAGAAATGCTGCATCTCCAGCAGCCTGCTTTCTGCCTGCGCGCAGACTGGACTCACACTTCCTGCAGAGGATGGCTTATTTCAATCCTCTCCCTCTTCACTGCTGGTTCAGCAGGACCGCTGGACACGTCGGCATCACTTTCTAAATTACTCATCTCATCTGAGAAGGATGCATCTAAAGGCAAAGAAAGGACAGTTCTCTTAGCACAGTGAAAACTCTGTTTTTTTCTTAAATTAAAGCAACAATGTGTAACGTTTTAGCCACACTTCAGGTTTAGCTCCCATGAAAGCAAACTGGTGGCATAGACCTAAAATGAACCCGTCATCCTTTGTGTTTGGAATGTGCTAGCAGGCCAGTTTGGACTGGAGGGTTGAGACGCCATGGAGTTTGTTGTAAATTCAAGGCATGACTCACAGCAGCATGTTTTGATCTCTTAAAGGAGCAATAAATCATAATGGTGACACCTAGCGCTTTAAACTGGAACAGCACACACATGTTAATGGTGTGAACATGTATCACAGCTAAATTAAGTGTCTTCTTGGGTATTGCTGAGACTATTTCTGGGCCGCTTCTCTTGCTTGCTTCCTGGTAATTCTCATATGAGTGGCCCAAGAACCAGGCAGTAAATACAGGCTTACACACTGCATTAAACAGTAGTTACAGACAGAACCTCTGTTGTTGATGCAGAGACCATCACTCTATAAAGAATGCTGCTTCCACCCTGGGAGAAAAATGACGAGTTTGAAAATATCATAGAAAAATAACTTTCTATTTTAAACTAGTGGAGTTAAACCCTTTGTTTGTTGCTGTCAGCTCTGCAGGAGCAGAGATCACGAGGATCGGGCTCTCTGATTGGATGACACTCCATCATCCAAATACATTTAAAGGTTTCGATTTTCCAACTCTGTAGCATGAAGTTATGAATGTGCTTCAAAACCTAACAGCTCAAGACAAGATCAAAAGCCTGAAGATCAAAATAAATGTGGTTTTTGAACGCAGCACGATACTGAGTTTAAAGTAACGCAGTGTTGCTTTAATAACTGATGTGATGCATCTCTGGAAAAGGTTTATTAAATGTGCCGACTTGCAGAGAGAGAGCGTTCCTGCTAAGGGTTTACTCACCTTTTTCCATGAATGACGGCATCATGGAGGTCAGGTCGCTGAACTGTAACAAGATTTAATGGAGAAATTATCAAACAATAAAGGAACATTAACTTTACGGAACCTTGAAAAGTCTTCATACTGCAGAGGTTGTTCACATTAGTTCATGTTAAAACCATTATTTTTGTTCTTTATATCTGGGATTTATTTAATCAAGGAAACTTTAACCCTCTGATGATTGCGTAACGTTTAACTGGTAGGGAGAGGCGGTGTAATCTGGATCTCTGAGCAAGACCCTTAACCCCCCACTGCTCCCCAATGGGATGGGTTAAATGCAGAGGTACATTTCTCCAATGTGAGATCAATAACGTTCAATTATTATTATAACTTCGGATGAGTTGAACTGAGTTTCATTTCACATATCAGTGTCAGAATAAACTGGCCTGACAACCAGCTGTTGAAAATCCGGGTTTATTTTCCAGCAGAAACTAAAGCACTAAAGCCCAGCAGGAGCTTTTTTGGCTGCATGTGACTAAATGTTCAAGGAGTATGAAAACCTTTCAAGGCGCAGTTGTTTGCAGTGTCCCATCTGATCCTTCCTACCTCTCCCATCACGGCGATGGGGGTCTCTCCGGTGGCCTGAGCCACACGGTGCTCCACCAGGTAGAACATGTACTCATCATAAAGCAGCCGGATCAGATGAAATGAGCCGAAGCTGGCAGCGCTGCGCAGAGTCAGATCTCTGATCACCATTGAGCTAAAATGAAATAAAAAGAAAAATAAAAATCACATGGTTTGTATCTTTCTAAGGAGCGGCTCCGATGTTTGGGTCTTCTGATTTCCTACCTGTAGAACGACCACTTGAGCAGGAACTGGCGAGCAGCTTTGGGGAAACTGGGGCTGCCCTGGTGAGGCTTGAGGACCTGAGAGACCACGTTATCCAGCCATGAAGCCCACTGGTCCAGAGAGCTCTGCTGCTGCAGGGTGACCTTAAAGTCCTGCTCCAGGCGCTGCACCACGCTTTCGTCACACTGACAGACCCACGACGCCTGCTCCTGTTGGACACACAGACACACCCAGTGAGAGTCGCCGGAGCAAACTCTGGACGGTTTAAAGGCGCTGGGAGGCGGCGTTTACCTGGACGTTTGCAAAGTCAACCCTGTTGAGGTCAGAGAGCATCTGGTTAATCTGGGAGGTGTTCTGTAGGACGGCTCTGGCTGCCTGGGCCAGGTGGTTCAGACTGGTGTATCGCCTCAGAGTCTGAGCAAACGCACTCACCACTGCCACCTACAGCACAAACAAACTAATGAATGAACGATCAGGCCGAGTGGCAGCCTGGTTATAGAGGGAAACACTCAGATTATCAGATGCATGTGAAACTGCTCCCTAAAAATCCCTACATGCCTGTGCAGCAGGATAAACAGCTACAGAGGGGCGGGTTTGGTTACCTTGGTGCGAACGATCTCCTGGGGGAAGCTGGTCATGGCGGTCGTCAGCCAACCCTCCAGACTTTTGGCGAAGTTTCTGATGGCCTGGGTGAGAGTGCCTGCAGAAACATCATGGCCTGGTTTACAAAGCAGCACCATCAGCAGGACTTCCCAGTAAAAACCATTTAACACATTAAGACCAAGTTTTATACCTAACTGAAGTCTTCATATCAACAATAACAAAAAGCACATAAAGTCTGACAGCATATGGAGCAGTTAGATGGGCTTTCAGGGTCTGTTCTACCTGATGAATATCTAGGTTATATAGATGCTGCACCTCTCTGCCTTCTGGCTCCATATTCAGAGATCGGGTGAAGTGAATCCATTGCAGTGCTAACAGGTTAGCACTCCCTGTGCTAACCTGTTAGCATTATCTTTGACTTGTTAATAAATCAGATTTGTTATGTTTAAAGTGAGACTTATGAAACATCTTTCTATCAATGTGTTATTTTTATCATCTAAAACTTCAATGTTGGGGATCTGATGCTGCCAACAGGAAAATAATGTTTCAGAAAACCATAGAAACAGCTTTAACTGCTAAATGTTTGGGATTTTACAATAAAAAGGTCTCAAGTATCCTGGAACTGGATTATTTAACGTTAGATCAGCCAGTTGATAAAAACAAATATAAAGATTTTCTCCAATCCATTAGTAGACAAGGGTCAAGCTTTTCCAGGCTGCACCTTCCCTGTTTTCAGGGATGTCACCTTCTGGTATTGGAAATCGGCATATTGGTCCGATAACAGTTTAAAATCAAATATCGTTTTATTTCGGCCAAAGACTGGCTCATTCCTGTGAGAACCGTTTCTACAAAGGCTCTTCTTTTTATAACTAGGAGAAACTAAAGCTTGTTGGGCAGTCATAAATATTTAAATTATTTATACTTAGACACTGTATCCAGTTACAACAACAAATTGTCATAATAAAGACAAGTTTGTTTGCATATTTTTGCTGTTGTTTATTTTAGATTTCTATTTTGCCACTAAAATAATTATACCTCATCCAAACATTATAAATACATCTGCATTATATTAGCGTTCATTATTTGGGTTTAATTCCACACTTGTGATTCTGTAATTAAAGCACATTGAGATTAAAAAAGCTTTGATTTTCATTTGAATAAAAGTATTTAATGCCTTTAACTAGCTTTTTTTTTCTGAATAAATGTTGCTGTCCTCCTCCTCTGTCACTGTGTTGCTGTTGGGTTTTGTTGTTTCAGATTGGACAAATCTCTGGCCAACTATGTAAGAAGCTTAAAGTAGCTAACAGGAAGTTGAGGACCGTAAAGTTGCTCTGCTTTTTCCTGTCTGATCATATAGGATTTATAAATGTTGGCAACCTTTTGGAAATTTCCCAGAGACGCCAACAGTCTACCTTCTTTCATTTTTTTTTTCCTCAAAGGATAATTACAACTATGTTTGCTTTTATTATGCTAGCTGCAGCAACAGCTTCCACTCAATGCTAAAAATAAAGCTCCCTATTTTTTTGTTTTGAAATAATAAAACCCTGTTTTATGGTAAATCCTCCAACACACACAGTGTGACATCACCTCCCCTCCTTACTTTAACTGTTACTAATCTCACGATGAACCGATAGCAAGAACATGATGAAAACATTTAAAATCGTTTCACAAAAAAAAAACGATTCATCAGCAAGTCTTAGGTTAGAAGAAAAGGATCAGAATCTGATGAATAATCTCTGCTCAGAGCGTCTCTACTTTTCAAACCAGTGAAAACATCAGGAGAACTGACTGGGAACAGGACGCAGCACATCAGGGATGAGGATCTCCACCAGAGCCTGGTACAGGATGTGATCGCAGCTCCTCATCCAGAGCCTGACCGGCTCATATTTACACAGAGCTACAAGCTTTTCTCTGGGAATCACACGCTCCAGGTCATCATCGCTGTGAAGGAAGAAAAGAAAAACGTAAATGTTGCTGCTTTAATCCAAAGTTGTATACCTTCACTGTTTTCCTGAGTTCGGTCTGACCTGCTGGGGATGGCTGTGCTGCTGTCACTAGATGGCGGTGTTGAATTCCAGAAGGTCTGCCACAGATTTTCAACATAGTGAAAATGGAGATTCATCACCACGTCCAAAGTAGCCTGCAGGGGGGAGTCAGGGGGGGGTGGGGGCAGGACAAAACACACAGAGCTGAACCATGGCAACCAGAGACACAACAAAGTTTCTCCAAGCAGGCGGGCGGGCGGGCAGGCAGGCAGCCTCTGGCTCAGCCCGGCTCCTCCAGCTTTTACAGCTCTCTGCACCGTCAGGTTTTCCTTCTAACTGAAGCACATTTCATCAGTTTAGCTTCTTTCAGGGACCTGAACTGCAACGCGTCTCTCCTGTCAGGATGGATGAAAGCCGTGCTTTGTGCTTCAACACCAAGAACCTGATTGTAAACGGATTAGGAGTTTATCTAATGCAACAGCTTCATCAAAGGAGATCAGATTAATCTAATTCAGGGGAAAAAATGAGGAAATCTGTTTCTTCTGCTCTAAACTGTTCATTGTTTTTGCAGAACATGCAGTGATCCCTTCCTCTGTCCACCACTTGCTGCAGGATCCTGTTACACGGCAGTGTAAGTCTCGATCACATGATATGCTTTTGCTTCCTCTCTGCCCGTCACCGTGGCAACCGTGTTTACAGTTGCCCCCAGCAACAGGTCAAACACTGAGCTCCAAAACAAAAGGAAGAATTCCCCATTCCCTCCAAACAAGCACGTTCTGCCTCCTTATCCCCTCCAATGAGTGTCTCCTAGCTCACGGCAGGAAAAACAACTGCACAGCATGAGGAAAAAGGACAGAGAGGGAGAAAAACAAAGGTGGAAGTGAACGCTACGACTACGAAGAGCAGCTTCCTCAGTCCAAACCTCTCTGGAGTCGGAAACCAAGGCTGTGGTTCCAGAGGTGATCTTTACACTAAAAGGCTTCACTAACTGAGCCTGGATACCTGATCCGTTGCCATGACACCAATAAAAACTAGCACATCTCAAGGAATTAGAAAATCAATGGAAGTTTACTCAGATTAACGACATAAACAGTGATACATATCAAGATTTTATTACGGCAGATTTTAAAGGATTTCACCGTTACTGTTAGTTAAAAAAAACAAACATATTTTTATTGAATTTTAAAATGATTAAAAAAAGTTTTCTTAATAGGGCTGACTTTAAACTTGAGCAGATAGGTTGAAAAATAAGACCACCACAATGTGTAAATAGAAACTAAAGTCCTTCATATTCGATGTTTCTTGAACACCCAGAAATCACACAAGCAGCGTCACAGATGCGGCTCCACTGGAAGTATTCAAGCTTACAAACCCTCTTAGTGTGACTTATGTTGCAGCAGAGCGGACGTTTGTGACGCTAATGTCAGAGTTTAGAACTGTAGCACGAATTCTCCAGCCAGCCCACATGAGACCAGAAGAAGAGCTTCAGAGAAAAAGGTAAATAAGTCCACATCTGAAAAAAGGGAACAACTTCCCGGTAAAATGGGTTGGAACAGGAATAGGTTGTCTTAGTAATTAACTTAAGGAGAACAAATATCCTCAGTGGTTTAAATGCACTAAATGTTGCATGTTGAATAGCAAATCTCAAGCTCTGAAAGGCAATGATTTACGTACAGATCTACTGTCATTGTTCTGCTCTCAGAATTAGAGATGAAACTTTAACTTCTGTTTATAGCAAATAAACTCTTCAAGGTAATATTTTATGCCTTCTTGCTACATATTTATTTATTAAATGGGATTAATTGTGCTATATTTCTAAAAACAAGCTCCGTCTAGATAAACGGCAGGCTTGTTCTGTAGAGATCCACTCGCTCTCCTTCTCCTCTGCAGCCTAAACTTTTATTGTTTTAATATGGATGTTTCTTTGTGCTTTTCATTTTACATTTTTACCTGTTTTTAAATTGTATTGTTTGATTTCTAGTTGGCACCAGCACCCTTCACAAACCTGCTTGGGATAGCATGACAGAAAATGGATGGATGGATAATTTATTGTTTTACAAATGAACGACCTCCTGTTCAGCAAGTTGAAAGCGTTTATAAACGTAATCATTATCATTCATGCTCACACTTCTTAAATTATCAGCCTTTTCTAAAAGAAGCTACATGATCACTGGACTAATCTGTTGGTTGAATAATATAAACAAAGGATTTAGATTTAAAAAATGATTGGCCTTGTAATAAACATAATCAAAAATGTTAATCATTTCAAAGATGTGTTGTTAATATAGAACTGTTATGTTCTGGCACAGTCTACGGTCATAGTCAGCCTGTTTGTCCAGCATCAGTGAATGAAGGCCTCTATAAGGAGGATCGCCCACAAACAGTCCTGCACACGCAGCTGGATGTTCAGAGAGCAGTATTAAAGCCTATTAATGGAAAGTTGAGTAGAGGGAAAAGGTGTGGGTGAAAAATAGATAAGCCTTGAAAGGAATGGTGCCATGTCATCTGCTGGTGTTGGTCCACCGGGTCCAAATTCAGCACAGGCACTTTGAGCTTCCCTCTGCTGACAAGCTGGATGGAGAGCCTGCTTTTAATTGTTCAGCAAGTCTTACTTTCTAACCGAGTAAAATACTAACTGAACAATTTTCTAATTGGTTTTCCCTCTGCCTGAAGTAAAAAATATGAAAGACTGATGGAGAAAAAGGACGAGAGATGAGAGGAAGATGAGCGATGTTAAACCCAACAAAGAAGAGAAGAAAATAAAGTAAACTATGCTTCCTTATTCCTCAGAGGTTGATCGGATCCTCATCACGCCTCACTGATGCACTCATTCATATACCAGTGGTCACATGTAATATTTAGGTTTTTGAGAAGCAGGACTTTTAATTAACTGTCAGCTATTGTTATTCCAATGTAGTGCACACACACAGACATGCTGTTAATAAAGATTAATCGACAAACTTTTCTAAAATAAGCTTTACGGTAATAAACCAAGAAGGCTTCAAATGTGTTTCTTTTGCAGCAAATTTCTGTCCAAAAAGGACAAAGATGGAGAAATGCAGAGACATTAGTCCATGGGAGCGTAGGAGACACAGAAATGTGACGGAGGACAAAGACAGGAGTCTGTCCACCTGTCCGCAGACAGTAACACAAAGGCTGGAGGGGAGGCCAGCGAGATGTCCACCCAGCGCACTGAAAGGTTAATTGGCAAGTCCTGAAAGCTGTGCAGAGATGAAAAGAGGGCTGGAACAAAGGAGGTGTGTGGAGAAGCTGAACAAGGCGAGGCAGCGATAATATGATCAACTTTGCTGCCTTAATCCCAAATTCTTGGCCTCACGTTTTCTGTTTCCCATCTTCATCCAGCATCAGTGATCTGTTCTGACAAGTAACCGCTATACTGTAAAATACTGTGATGAAACCCATCGTTTCCCTACAACTCTCTCATCCTCCATAAGATTTATCATTAGGAAATAAGACAAATACAACTGCTGCTTGATTTGCCGATATCAGGACACGATGAAGGATTTATTTTTTCTTTTGTAAACAGATTCTGCTTCCGTGTTGTTGTTTTTTTAATGACCAGCTAAGTGAAGCACAGGATTCAATTTGTGAATAACTGGGTGAAGCAAGAACTGAAACTAAAACCTTGGCTTGACCTAAATGGTAAAGTAACTCATGAAACACTTTCTTTGTTTCAGCAAATTTAAATAAAACAAAACGTACACAGTAAACAAATTCAACAAACAGAGTAACTATGGAAACCTAGTGGTGATCGCTCATTTGACGTATATATTTTCTCTCAACTCTGAACAAGTTTTTCTTCAGGTTTAAGTTCAAGACTCTCACTTATGGCGGCCGTGCACCTTTTCTACGACACGTTTTCCCTCCACTTCACTTCTATTATTATTCTTTAACACTCAGTGAGTAGCATAACTGTCCAATTCGCAGTATTAGCATTGCTGTACAACAGCAAACAATGGAAACGTTTAAATCTGTTAACATTCCATTTATTTTAGGGGGCCGTCAGGAAAAAAGTATTGGTTCATAATCTGTAAACCATAACTAGATGCAGTTTTAGCAAACACTTGAACTACTTACAAGGTCTGGTTTCTGAACCAAATTACTGATATAAATGTATCTCACCTCGCAGTGGCCTCTGTAGAGAGTCTGCAGCTTTTTAATATCATTCATGCTCATGTGCTCAGGAAGAGGCTGTGTGCCCAGGTCCAGAGAGGGAAACGGAGGTAAAGAGTGAGACGTATCTGTGGAAATCAACATGGACCAGTGTTTATCTATAAAACCCCAAATTAAGCTAGAGTGACTCTAAAGGAATTAGTTGTGGATTTCATGTAGAGTTTGATATAAACATCTTCGAATGTAGCTTAGAAATATCAAACCTGTCATTTTAAAAGGTCAAGGAACAACAAAAAAAGAAAGCTTTAGAGGCAGCCTCTGTTTTAGTTTACCGATATACTGCTGGTGCTGCTGGCTTTGAGCCGCCACCGACTGCTCTGGAGTGCTGCTGCAGTGCTGGGAGCTTCCACACAGGCTGTCGGACATGCTGTCCACCTTCTGCAGAGGCTTGAACCTGCACACACATGTGAGAGCGAGCCATGCAGGTTAGCTCACTGAAATAACCAAAAATGATCAGAGGACATATAACACAGCAGAAAATCATCTACAGCAATTTAATAAGAGTAGAAAAAGAAAGCAATGCAAGGTCAGCTGGAGTCGGATGTGCAGTGGAGGGAAACCCTCCATACAACACAGAATCAACCAGGAGGTCACATAACAAACCAAGGAAACAATCTCAATGGACTCAGGTAGTAATGAGAAAGAGGAACTGGGCAAAAGCAGGGACAGAAAATCAGCTGACCAAGAAAAGAAAAACACCAAGGCACGCCTCACATTGCTGACCAAAAAGTTTGAGCAGCAAAGGTGCATGCGCAGGGTGGCGCCATTTTTACAGCCAATGCCAGAGGTTTGTTAATTCATCCATATTTATTGAATCTTTTAAGTTCTTTTATTTCAAAAATATCATAATTGAGAGAATGAATTTATGTTCCAATTGCTTATTTTTACATACACAACCCCAACCTGCTGTTTGTAGAGATCCTCTGAATACGGTTGATGTTTTTATTCTATTTTGGGTGACAGTGGCGTAGGATGCAGGAATGCCTTGCTTCTATCAGTGCGCCCCAGTGCAGCTGTGGCTACAGTGCAGCTTACCTCCATCAGCAGGTGAATGACTGAATACAGTGTAAAAGCACTTTGGACGCTTCTTGAAAACATGTCTGCATTGTTTCGCCCCTACAGTATAGTTCTCTTGTGATGATCCCAAAGTTCTTTCCATAAAATAATCATTAGAGCTCAAACCTGACCAAAGAAAAAGGCACCTAGTAGAAAAAACCTAACATGGCCGAATAAGATCAATGTAACAGACTGCATAAAGAAAAGGATGTAGTACTTAAATAAATTGTTTTATATTACATTGATTATCAATTATCTGACTTTTGTCTTTATAATTGTAAATGTATATATTTCTGATTATAAAACATTGTTTTCTGACTCCTCTGCTGTCATTTCATTAGAAATGATTCTTTAAACTTCACTGTCAACGAGGAAAAGATCAATACAGATATACTTACAGAATATTTATTTTAGCTTCAAAGTATTAACATTTTTAAAAAGTCAGTTCAAATTGATCTACTTATATATTTTTTTGTGGATATATTTTCTTCTAGCCATAATTTTTCTCAGCAGCCTAAAGTAACAAGTTAATTTTAGGGAATAAAGTAGAATAAATCTGAGTTTTGCTAAACAGTTTTTATTTTATGCCAATTAATATTCATGTATCATTTTATTTCCATGTCTTGTTTTTTATAAACACTGGTTTTTAAGTATTTTATCAGTATTTAGTCTCAGATATCATCTGAAAGGAGAGCATAAATTTAAAGTAGAAGGAGGAGGACAGTGTTGCAGTGCATGCAGTTAACAAACGGCAACAACTTCAACAGAAAATTACTAAGTGTTGCGAAAACAAATCTGAACTTATTCGATAATTATGGTACAAGTTCAGAGGAGTCTGACCTCTGTTTCTGGTGGACAGGCTGCTGCCTCATTGCCATATACTGGGTGTCCTCCTGCAGCCGGTTCAGTGGAGAATCTGGCTTCACCCGGATGCCATAGTAATGGTACTTGGAGTTGCCTCTGAAGCAAAAAGGGAAAATATTCAGAAAGCAGTGAAAAAAGCCTCCCCATCAGTGTAATTACTGTCTTTGCTCTTCACCACCAGTCCCTCAGTGCATAATCGTATTCAATGAATCTTGAAAACTTATGCAATCCCTATTATCAGCGTCCTCCTACCTGGTGCCAAGGCGCCGCGTCCTTAGGCCCATAAAGACTGAGCGGATGAGTTTCCCAAAGGATGCTGCGTTGACAGGATCCAGTTTCTGCTCCTGACAGTGTCTTAGGTAATGGTTATACAGGGAGCACCGGGGCAGGCTCACCCCCTCCGCCGTCTCATAGTTGTCCAGTAGCCACTGAAGCTAAAAACAGAGAAGAATATATTTGTACCATCAGCGTTTCCAGGAGACGAGCCTGCCCTGTGATGGTCAGCCGCAGAGCAGAGCAAAGGAAGATCTTTTTATCATATCAGAAGCCAACATAAAACAAGCATCACTTGGCCTCGGGTTTTGAAATATCAGGGATTTTACTAAAATGAATCTGTGTCAAAACATTTGACTTATTTCTTAGCTCAAGCTGCAAACGAGCAGGTCAATCCGATCTGATGAGATCCTTACTAAGTCTGAATGATTTCCATATAAACGCTGCCTAACGCAGGAATGCTTCTCCTGTTCGAATGTTGAAAACAAAGTTAAACGAAGACCTTTAATCACATCCTTTAAACCTTTTTTTAAACTATACAATCTTACACCTTGCAAAAAAAACAACCCTTTCCAACGACTACAAGGAAAAAATATTTAAATGCATCAAAATCAGAATCAATTATGTGACAAATTAGAAACAAAAATGTACATTTGAAAAACAAAAAAAATAAAAAGAAAAGAAACTAAATAGTAAAATAAAATAATATAAATCAAATACTTAAATGAGGAAATACTAATTAAATTTTAAATTTTACAAATAAAAATAAACCGAAAGCATCAAATATCTTGTTGCTCTTTCCCTTTTTTGTAACCTGCTCCAGTACTGATGTTTTTTTCTGGATTATATCCGTTAAAGACATTTAATCAAAAATAGCTTAAGCTTAATAATTCAGCTTAATAAATGAACCAGAATGGCTTTTTTTTTTCTTTAATGTTTTCATGCTGGAGAGAAAAAATTCAGATGTTGTACCCATCATTGATAAGTAATCACAAACAGTCCATGGAGACAGTTTTAATGGTCTAACCAGCGAGTTTTTTCTATAGCAGCTTGGGCTTTACAGAACAGACATCTCACAATCAATATTCCATTAAACATTCCTCTAGAAAACAACAAAAACATGGTAAATCAAGATACATTTTAGTATTATCTTTTAAGTTTTATATTTAACATAGTTTATTAGATGTTGAAATGATGTGTTGCTGAATATCACTTTATTTTGTCTTTTTTTTCTTTAGCAGTTTTCGTCTTTATTCTCCTTTTATAACACAGTATGTTCATCTTTCTGTGTTGCTCTGTTCAGTCATGCTGATCTAAACTACACTATAATATGCGGTAAAGATCTTCCTGAATAAGTGAGACCAAACATCAAATGTTAAAAGGGAGACTTGGCTGCTTTAGCTCAGTGTGCTCAGATATCCTCAGGTAACTGTGGAAGAAAGCAGCTGGATATTTGATTTTAGAATCATATTTTTAAGAAAGCACTAAGATTAGAACATGTGGACAAATGCTTTTTTTTTTCTTCAAGTTTTCCCACATACTTAATAAAAAAAATGTGGGGAGCTTAATTTTCAAGGAATCAAATCAAAAAAGAAAATAATAAATAATTTTAGCCTTTAGCACTGGGTTTTGTATTTGTGTCTGATTTATCCGTTTCAGTTCTATCCCAGGGTCTTATTTTAATGATGAATCTGCTGGAACGACTGAGTTTTTCTTTTACTTTGCAAAATGAAAAACAGTTGAAAGACAAACAATATTGAATGTCTACTCTAAGGTCCAGGAAGCAAACAGTTCAGACTCCAAAGCTTACAGCTTGTTATCTGGAATGGGTTCATACTAATTCGATTTAAAATTCATGTCGGAATCAAGTAACCTCAAGTATGGGGTAGGAGAACAGAGACCAAGACCTTAAATGGTTTTGATTACTCACCACGGGAATCCAGTCTGATCTTTGCTATCAAACAAGTGGGTGCAGTTCACTTTATTTTCCTTATTGGTTAAAATCTCTCTTTTTTTTAATCCAAATTCATCAGGAATGCAAAGCTAAATTTTTTATATTTAACAAAAAGAAATAATTTTGGTCCGGTTACCTAACCTGAACAGAACAAGCTTAATCTTATTTTTTGTCTGTGAGTGACACAAAATGGATATATATCTTCGTAGGCATTGAGCCGCATGATAAAGGCCTGACAGGAGAATTGGAAGATGTGGAGTCAGTTGTTTATACACTAAAATCGGCTAAAAATATAATGACTAAACAGAAAACTTAAAATGCTGTAAAGTTATGTAACTTCTGTTAGTACATCAATGTTTTCCAAGTAAAATGACCAGATATAAAGACCAAAAATAAAGCTAGCCAGTGAAAACGAATCCGATTACTCTTATAATGAAAGTAAGAAAAACAATCAGTAATAAACCATGCATCAAAGGAATCATCTCAAATCTGCATGTAATGAAAAGTAAAAGCACACAGCTCTGATTTCAGATCAAGAATTAAAAGAAAATAATATCAAAATAAAATTAGAAAGGAAATAGTGTATTTCACTGAGCAGACACAAGCAGAACACAGAGGCTAGAGATTCAGTCGTCACTTTCTGATGTTTCCTTACATAGAAAGTTCCTGTTTGACTTACATGGCTGTTGAGCAGGCTGCTTTTGTGACTGGCAATTCCTTCAGACTTTTGGAGGTTTTCAATCGCCATTTCAAGCTGAAGAAAGAAGCATGCAAAACAGAAAAAAAGGACACAGAAGGGGGAGGATGCAGAGCGAAAAGAGGGAGAGAGAGAGAGAGAGGAAAAGAAATAACCAGGGACATAATGTTGGGGAAAAAAGAAGCGAGAAGGGAAATAAGACTGTTAGAAAGCAGCCAGATCTGTGCATTTCCATTCAAATAGTCAGTGTTGCAGCCAAATCAATTATTGGCTGACAAAAGCATGCAAATCAGGGGACTCATAGGGTTAAGCGGCTCAGTGAAGGTCCTAACACCAAAGTATGCAAAACTAGAACAACAAACAGGGATACGGGTCACATCCAGACCTGGGACAGAGGATCAACAATGTCAATCATCTCAGAGTTTAATAAAAGCAGAGAAAACATAAGTAAAACCAAAGAAGTAGATAAGGCAAGATGATACTATGTCAAAATTAAGCACTAAATATATTAACCCTACATAATTCTAAAACTTTATAAGAAAAACATCTAAACAAAAAACAATCCAAGTCTGCTTAAAGCTTTAACTGAGTAAGTAAAGCAGGAGGATTTTCTAAAGTTAAGGATGAAAATCTATGAAAACTGCACTAAACTTCAGACATGAGAGAAGAAAGAGAAGCAGGCAGTGTTCAAAGAGAGCTCCAGAGGACCCTTAGCCAAATGGTAATAAGCCCCAGGGGTTTCTTTGTTTCAGGGGGTGCTCAAGGCCTGTGAAAACCCCTAAAACAAGGCAGCACTTCCTTAAGGCAAAGTCCCACTTCTACAGACTTCCGGCCTAGCACCGCTTTTCTCTCAGTGATTGTTCATATAACAGTACAACAGCTCCTGATGCGGACCCCTGGCATAAAGGATGGTTAGTCTGGACATGGGTACTGACTGGTGAGACAATAGAAACTACAGCTATAACAGCCCCACCACAGGAGCAGGAGTTATCCTCACCATGGCTGAGGAGGAGCGAGACGAGTGTGAGATGTGGTTGCGGTTTCCGTCCAAGCCTCCGCTATGAAGCAGGTAGGTGCTGCCACCGGAGATGATGTGGCTGCTGCCCACGTCCATGGCAATGCCGACCATGCCATGAGGAGGCACGCCACTGCTGGCGGAGGAGACCACAGTGGTGACGTGGGTTCCACCAGCCTGGGAGTCAAAGTAGGTCCCTCCGCTACCTTGTCCATACAGCTGAGAGTCAGGGTTGTAGGAGTAGGCTGTTCGGCTGGAGAAAGATCACTGCAGTTAGCATGACATGCTTTTTAAATCCATCTCACATTATATGATACTGAAATACACTGAGTCCTGTTTGAGGGGATTGTGGAAAGAAGAGATGCACTTAGAAATCAATTAATGTCCGACCTTTTAGCTCGATTGGCCCCCGATTAGTCAGAAACCCAGAGAATGCATCACACAGTAAGAAAACTACTCAGTACTGCTGCACATCATACTAATTGCTGCATTAGCCTGTTTTGTAGCTAAATTCTGAGCTTCAATAACATTTTAGTTAAATTAACTTGTATTGCCATCTGAAGTCGATTTTCAATGGCTGAGCTAGTAAAGCTCCCTAAGAGAAAAGAAAGAGAAACATAGTGGTAAAATGTGGGATAGTCTTTATCAGCTTGTAATGAAAACATCCAACATTAGTATGTCAACTATCGTACATGCTTTCCTGTTATGCTGTTCTGCCCTTTAGTGAGAACTCGTGGGGCTAAAAAAGGGATCTTTTCTTTCCAAAATAAGGCATAGGAAGTGATGACAAGTTAAACTAAAGGCTGCTGTTTTAGTAATGCTGGCTGATGCCACCCTGCCATATTCTGAACATTTTAATCATTCCTTTAACATTATCGATTCTAATTGGCTGCAGGGTCTTTGGTAAAAGGTGCTGTAGGACCCTGATTGTTGAAAGTTTTTGGTCTAGCTCAAATGTTGGCTGCACTTGCCCTATGAAACTATACCTTGTATCATTTAACATAACATTTAGAAATAATATCACTTCCCTCTGCTGATTAAATCTAATTTGCCATTTGCTGCTGATTGAGCTACAGGTTCTGTGGCCAAACAGATTAACTTTGTAACAAGTCATAATGATAGTTATTAAATAGTACAAAAATGTACAATGTTAATGGTAAAGGAGCAATAATTGCAAAACTGCATTAGTTATTACGATAGATGACATTTAACATTTATTTATTTTGTAATTGTTCGTGGTAAAAATGGGATAAGGCCCTTTGAAGTGTCCATTATCGGACATGAATGCTTGGAAAACAAACTAATTCTCATTAGTGTTTGTCCAGTGTAAAGTAAGGTACACAAACATTGTCATGGTGACGATATTTAAGAATGCTTATTTGAATATTTCTCTCTTGATAATTTTACATTTCTGGATGTTTTGATTATTTAATAATAACACCTCAGCCAACCTTAAAATACTGTCAAAATGTGTTTTATTTAAGTTATTTTGCATTTATTTCAACACCTATTTGACAGGTATTTATGATTCTGTTGGTATTTATGTCAACTTGGAAGGCAAGTTCCAAGTTAAGATTAAAAAATGTTTATGTAAATAAAAATATTCTTTATGCTTTTAATTATCAAATATTTTCCTTGATTTCGATATCTAGCTTCAAATTTCAGTATGGTGACAACTCTAGTGTAAAGCAACAGGTCTGCTGAGAGATATTTGTGTTCAAAGGGAAGATGACTAACTGATGTCACAATATTTGGTATTATCGTAGTAAAATGAATCACTGAAACTTTAAGAAAAAAACAAAACAACTGAGCCTTAATTATTCTAAATGGCTAGTTGATTGGAGCTACATTAAAACCAGTTGGTGACACATATAAAACAAATAGTGTAGGAGATCTTATCGGTCACCGTTTTATCAACACAACACTTGTTCAAACTTGAGTCACAAAGATCACCGGATCAACAATCATTGGATGCTAAATGCAGGTGTAGCTCTGACTCAGACTTTGAAAGAAATACCTGGAGCTTTTTTCACTACTAAGACTGTTTTTTCCCCCCTTCCCATTTCATAATTAGCGTCTTTAAACAGAACCTAAAAACCTCATTAACAAAGTAAAATGAAAGAACCGATCTTACATAGTTCCGTTGGTATAAACAGCTTCCTCGCTTTCTCCTACATATTGTACTTGGGACTGGTAGACATGTGGCACCTGCTGCTCATACAAAGATAAAATAAAAAAAAGGAGAGTTTAGAGTTAAAACAGCAGTGCTTAGGTAAAACACACTGAAAAAACAACAGTAAAAAACTATCCACCCCTTGGCTTATTGACAATCTGTCCAAACAGACGTTGCTGAATCTGAAAAAAAAATAAATAAATAAATGTTTCACCGCAGAAGGGTGTGTGAAAGAAAAAATAAATGACTAAAATAACATGAGAACATATAATAAAAATACATAAATGTATTCAATGAGACAAAAAAAACAAAAAAACAAACAATTTTTTCTATGCGTTTTTGTTTTAGGTGAACAATATTTGACATTATTATATTGTTGTATTATATATTGTATAGCTATGGTAATATTTTAGTGTTAATATGTATTTATCATGTTATTGTGATTTTGTTTATTTCTGCAATGCAATATTGTCTTAAATCCCTCTTAGTGCTGCCCTCTTAGGGTTGAAGAGTGGCTACTGCTGATTTATTTTCCTATTGGCTCAAACAGAATGTGATTCTAAGATGTATTTATCAAGAGCCTTTCATAGAGGAAAGCTTCACAAAGCCATATACAGAAAAAGGCAACATAAAGAAGGACGACAAACTAGTCCTTCTAGGGCTAAATCAAAACATCTTTTTTTTTAAGCCCTACACAAAGCTCTTATCATTTGTCAATATCATTTTATCCATATTCAATTTTGACTCTAAAAAGCTGTCTCTGTAGTAAAAGCCACATCTTGTCTCTGATTAAATTTCCCAGGACAAATGTGAAAGACGATTCCAACCATGTTGGTTGTATTTTGTTAAAGTTATCTGTGTACTGGTTTATGCTTAACAGGGGGTGAGTTACACTTTACACTTTAATGTGACACATTAAAGTGACACACAATTTCGCTATTAATAATAATAAAAAAAAAATAAATAAAAAAAAACACATGAGATTGAAGTAATGCAGATTTGTGCTGCCAAACTGCACAAACCTGTTTTCCCTTGCGTTTGGGAGATTTTATTTTGTATTTTCCCACATAGCAAATGCATTTTACTTTGCAACCACATCTCTCTTTCCTCAGGTGCTGAATTTTCTTCGGGTCCAAATCCATCCTCTTGAGTCTAGGCTTCTATTTAGGTCACTCAAAGAGCCCCCTGCCCTCTTTAGAGCAATGCAATGCTAAACATCTGTGTGTCATTACAGATAACAGCAGAAATGTAGGTTCTTCAAGACGAGCATTGTGCTGGTGTGACTTTACTGGTTTTATGGCTAAAACCGAAGCATTAGGTTTCTAAAGCAGCCGTTATGGCACACTTTGGCTAAACGAAATGAAAATATGTTTTTGCCAATCCATAATCATAACCGTTCAGTCCTCGCTATTAAAAATGAAAACTCTTTTTCTGTTGTTAATTAACTCTATATACCATCTTTAAATAAAGAAATCATTAGTCTCTGTGGGTTTTGGTTTCTCCACACTGGATAAAGATAATCCAATTTATAATTTTTTTTTATCTGAGGCTATAAAACAGAAGCAAAACATTGTTTTATTAAAAAAAAACAACTTACGCCTTACCTGGGGTGCCAATATATTTGGATGTAAAGCAATTACATTTAATTCTTTTCAACTGATTATGAAGTTCATCATAACCTTAACACAGAGAGAAATGTAGGTTCTATATGAGGTTGAGATGATGAAGTTACACGATAAAAGATATATGATCTACTAAACTATGACAATGGAGGAAAACGTTGTGGAAAATGGTTGGGTTTTGGTTCAAGCCTTCAGGAGAAACATTATAAATCTGCAGCAGGTAGAAAACAAAGACTCCTCCTCATTACAAGGTAACATGTCACATTGAACACCTAAGCCCCAAACTGTCCATAGCCCTGGCAGTTTTAGATTTGGAACCATTTCTATCCAACAAGAAGTTTGTTTATGATTGGTGATCAGATTACATCATCCGAAAATTTGACCATGCAAAATATCTTTCATAATAAAATCTTACTTTCATTTTATTATCAAATCCAGAGTCACAATCAATCGATAGGCCCTTTATTATAATCAATGAATATTTGTTTTTCTGATTTTTAGGGTATTTTAATCACCTGTTTTGGTGACGAGCTCAGAGTTTTCCACGTTGAAAGGCCTCCTCAGCATCCCTCTAACTGTAAAATCTTTCAACAGATTTTCTATCAGATTTAAGCCGGGACTCTGGCTGGCTGCTTCGAAATATTAATTTTACATTGAATTGGAGGAAACATGTTGATAAAAATACTACTGTAAAAATGCTCTTTGTTAAGTGCAGCATTTGAATAATGCTGCACTTAACAATGTCAACATTATTGCAGCTGAAATCATTCCAGTTTATGTTTAAATCTGAGCTTCTCTCTGTATGTTTAGCATGTTGAGAAGAGTCCTTCCTTCATAAGACTGGCAGCCCTATGAGAGTTTCTTAGAGGAAGGGGGGGGGGGTGCTGACAACAACCTTGCAGATGTTTTAACAAAAGTATTTCAATAAAGATGTTTCTAACAAAATGAGGTGGAATACAGTATCAACACCAACTCTTATGAGGACAAAAAAAACCTAAAGAGCCTGATACCTCCCTTCACATTGGGGAAAAGGAAGCTCCTGTGCCAAATAAGAAAAAGAAAACTGCCTGACTAACTCAGGTTTCACAGCTCAGCCACAGAATAAAATGTTCCATATCTTCAAGTGGTAGAGGAAGATAATGAGTAAGATCAGGATTTATATTTACCAAACAAAACCGAAATGTTTAAAGTCTAATCATTAATTCATTAAATCTATTAATTTTGTATTTTGGATAGAATCCAATCAAGTGAGATTTTTTTCTGATTGACTAAGTCTTTGATTTATTCATATTATATTATATTTTTATTACATATAAAAAAATAAATCAATCATCAATGAGTAAAATCATGATTTTGCTAAAGAGAGAAAACGTGTTGAATCCAGCCAGGCCCTATTAGAAAATACAATTTCCTCTTTTGTTCATTCTTAAATTATCTGTGCCAAACCACATTTACTGGTTTTATTTTACTAGCTACACTCATTACTACCCGACCTGAAGGGTCTTGGAATTACTTTAATGAACCTTTATGACAACATTAAGTGGACAATAAATGCCCATAATCAGCAGACGGGCAGTAAACAAAGTCACCGATATAACAGTATGAATCACTTCTAAGGCTTTGTGTGATCACAGAAAACCAAAATAAGAGCATTGATACACAAATAGAGAGATTATGGAGCAGTGAACCTTTCAAGGATTGGCTGCTCTACAAAGACTATTGTAACAAAGAGTAACTAAGAAGGGCCTAGTTAAAGTCTAGATGTAAAACTGAATGGAACGCTGTGATGAGATATTAGGAAGATTCATAATGTAAATGGCTAAACGGAAATATATATATATTAAAAAAAATTGAAGTAGCCTGTAACAAGTCAAGGGGTGTCCAAAGCTTTTCAGAACACGGTACAGGTATGCACAGTACTGTGTACCTGCTGGGAGGCCCTGGATACTGATACTTGTCCTCCTTTCTGAGCTGAGCCTATGGCTTGAACCAGCACCCTCTGTGTGAATATGAGACACAACTCAATTACATAGGTACACACATTCAAACACTAGACTAAACACACACAGGTCAAAACATCATAGTCAGAAAACACCGACTACTATGTTAAACTCTGCTTCTTTCTGAAAAGATACTGTTGACAAGTCAGTGACAAACAAGTGGTTAAAACACAGGAATGTGGTGACAAGTGGGATGGAAATGAGATGAGAAATGTTGGCTTTAATGTTTCTAACATGCAATCTAATCTCTCTGCCAGCAACAGCCTTTTTGTAGAACCAACTGATAGAAAGACAGCTGTTAGTAACTTAAAGTTTTATACCTATATTTCTGATCAACAACCGATCTAAGAACTTAAACAAGGTTTCTGCTTGTGTTATTTAGAAAAATTATTGTTGGTGCATTCAAAAGTATGCAGCTCACTGCACTGAATCATTAAAAAAAGATTTACTATAAGCTCTTGACCACAGTAAAGGTTTTCCTAACTGGGATTAAGGAGTCTAATGAGTATAGGCTTTATCCTGTCCTTATGGAAGCAGCAGGGCAGTCCTGTCTCCCTACCTGCTGGGAGGCGGGGACTGGCTGTACCACAGGAGCCTGGGCTGATGATGATGTCCGCAGCGTTGCCACACCAGTGGGGGTGTCTGCCGCTGCCTCTGAGTTCTGCATGCTGGAAAACAAAAAGGACAAATAAATACAGGATAGTCCTACATTAGCCCACTGCATAAACTTCAGAGGTGACAAATTTTTAAAATCGAAGGTGAATTAAGATGATTGTTGAGTAGAATAGGACGATGTTTCGTTCAATTGCTATTGATCATTGGCTCTTCAGTCAGAAACTGAAAAAATCCAACACTTTTCCAATCAATGATTGTCTAAGAAGTCGGCGTTTGTAGGTTATGCTGAAATACAGTGTGAAGTTCTCACCAAACTTTAGAAATTAAGGTAGCTGAAACATGAGCAAACATTACTAAAGAATAAGATACCATATGCAAGACCAGGAACATTTCACCAGAAATATTCCTAATATGTAGAAAAATGTTTTAAGTATCCTTGTGATTCTTGGTCATTTTGTGTGAAATTTACATCTGCTCCTATACCCTGGTTTGATATAACTGAAAGAGACCCACAAAACAGACAGTGGCAGGGTCACTTTTGTTGCTTTTTTACTTTGGTTTAATGACTATTCTCTAAATATAGTAAAAACAAACCCATCCATCCATCCATCTTTTGTGTCACGCTTATCCAAAGGGGGTTCGCTGTCTAAGTGGGAGAGGCGGGGTAAACCCTGGAAAGGTCTCGAGTCCATTGCAGGGCAACACAGAGACAAACAGGACAAACAATCATTCACACACACAATTACACCTAAGGAGGATTTAGAGAAGCCAATTAATCTAAGAGTCATGTTTTTGGTGGGAGGAAGCCGGAGTAACCAGAGAAAGCCCACCATTGCACTGGGAGAACATGCAAACTCCAAGCATAAAGACCCCAGGCCGGGAATCCAACCTGGAACCTTCTTGCTGCAAAGCAGCAGTGCTACCCACTGCGCCACTGAGCAGCCCAAAAGAAACCCTAAGATCCACTGGCTTTTTAAATTTTATTTTAATCAAAGACAATGGGACTAACACAGTGCACTCCAGTAAAAGTCTTGGTATCAGAACAGACTAATGAGGGAAAGCTATAGCCGAGGAGCTAAAATTACCAACAGGGTTGAGTGGTTTCCTGAAGGCCAAACCCACTACCACTACTTTGCTTTCCACTGGGTCACAGTGTGTGCAGCATAGCAAAGGGGAGCTAAAAATGGAGCGACACAAAGGCTCTTTAAAAATAAAAGACACAGGGAGAAGGGAGAAAGAGCTGGGGTACGACATGCAAAAGAATGGTACAGCAAGGGGGGGAGGAGACAAAAAAGTTCCCTACTTTCCAAAAAAAATGGAAGAAAGAATAAAAAAGATTGGGGTTTCGGCCCCTGCTAGGTTCCTGATGATATCCTGCATGAGTTTTAAATGAGAGACGTCTCCAAGGGCTCCAATAATCCAGCTGATATGAGGAAATTCCTCAATGCTTTGTAAACGCTCTCCAGTTGCTATGGTGAGGGATCCATGACGACCACCATGAGTAAACCCCCCACCCCTCTGTGTTCACTCGCCATCCTCATCCCTCTTTTATAAAGCTCTTCCACAGGAACTCTTGAGTGTGACAACAAAGGGGAGAGGGGGGGAGGAGAGCTTCAATAAGGGTGAGGCAGATAGAGCACAGCTGGGGGGGGGGGGGGTGGGGGGGGGGGTGGGGGGGGGGCGGACTGATGAGCAACATGTAGTTTATGGCATAAATCCTGTAGTTAAAGTTAATTGAGTTGGCCAAGTTATTCAACATCATCTGATCATGAGCCTTGTCACTGGAGCCATGCAACTTTTCCTTTTTTAATTTGCTGAAGGCTCTCTGAAAAGCACCACTTCAATCATTTAGTCTCTACATAAGTGAGTATATAATATCTTGATAAGGAGCTGTTATCTAATCCGCATTTTAGAAAGAAAAAGTTAGGAGAGGATGATACTCTGACTAAGTGAGGACTAAGACAGTTTGCAAGGAAAAAACATGCAGGTCTGTATGTTTTGTTGCATTTTTTTTGTTAAACAAGGACAATTTAATAGGACTTTAAAATAACATTAACTCAAACAAAACATAAATAATACCCAAAGTTATACAGTAGGATTCAAACACTACAGTTGAAATAGCTAAGAATGAAAACAAACCCAAAAATACTACTAAAACTGGTTATAACTATAAAAACATAACAGTGGCGTGAAGAGGAAGTGGCGATAAATATCAACAGCTCAGAAGAAAAGTGCTGAGTTCACAGAGAAAACTGCTGTTAGATCCGCTTTGATGAAACATTCCCAGAAAAAAAAAAAAGATACATTCTCAATACTACAGGAGCGACTGACACTGAATTACACCTAAGGACAAAAAGGTAAAAGAGCCACAATCTATTTTTAAAGGAGCATTACACAACTTTTGAATAATACTACCACCTGTGGCCAAAATTCAGAACTGCAGCACTCTTCTGCCTGTCCTCGCAGCTTGCGCGAATACTCAAGTTTTTTTTTTTTTATTACTTTCTTCACCTTACATGGAGCTGCCTTTGGTTTCTGTCTTTTGAAATATCAGACCTGTGCAGGACTCTGCACTGAAGGTCCCCCACGTGGTCCTGGAGGGCCCCTTGGTGCCGACTGGCACCGCGTTAGTGACCCTTAGGCTACAGGCGTAAAAATGCATCTCCATCGAACCAACAGGGTGTCAGTCTGCTCATCAATGCTTTAATCTTAGTGGGTTAAATAAAAAGACTATTGTAAAAAATTTTCAGTAATGCCTCTTTTATTCACAAAATTATGAGATTTCAATTTATAAACAAATATAACATCAATGTAAAATTTACAGAATTGAATCTGATCTTAAATGTAACACTTGATAGTTGAATTTAGATCTTAATATGAATTGGTATAACTAATTTTAGTGAAGAAGCAAAGCTAATGGCAGATACCTGGTCCACCTCAATCTCTGGATTGAGGAGGAACAGAAGGTAGACTGGTACGAAACGGAAGGACTCTAGGGTTAACAAGGTATGATCAGATCCAAGCTTTTACTGAATGTCATGCTAACAACACTCTTCAGTGTGGATGATGTTTCTGAATGAGGAGGAATGAATTAGCCTTCATACCTCATGAAACAGATGCTTTTAAGGATGAATGTGTCATTAAAAAAAGAAAACATTGCATTTTTTTATACATGAAGGAGGGGGTTAATTTAGGATGCCTCATTTGGAGGGAAAGATCAGCAGATAACATGAAGCTGAAATAAAAGCAAGGAGTCTAATTCATGCTGGATTAGGAAATGAAAGAAAACTCAAACAGGTTGAGGTTAATATAACGGTTTAAAATGCCACATGTTGGGAGCATGGCATGGGTCAGTCTGTAGAGCAGATGAACCATATATGGAGGCGACGGTCCTCCGGGTAGCTTTTTACGGTTTGGATTTACAGCATATCTTCACCTTTTTCTATCTTCCACATTGCTTTTCAACTTTGTATACTATCTGGTCCTCTTCAGGTTCTGGAATAGTTAAATTATGTTTAAGAAAGGATATGAAGCATTCCTTCACATTTGCTTTCTCTATTTCAGCTCCACATTTTAATGCTTTAATCTGAACCAAAAAGAAAAAAATTCTTACATGTAAAAAACTGGATTATGATGTTGGCATCACATCCTAATTTTAACTCAGTGCCAATAAGGCTGGTTGACTCAGTGGCATTATAAAATTGTCTGGTGATTTTCAAAACATGGCGATAAAAGAAAAAGTGGGATTCTCTGCTCTGGTTGTCGAAGCTAAAAGTGAATATAAAGTGTTTTTAGGTGGTAAAAATTGCAAGTTACAAAATCTAAAATCGCATAATTTTTTTCTGGCCAGTTTTGCTACTTTAAAATGATGTAGGTCTAAATTATAAACTATCGTCACAATCCAGTGACAAAATATTTTAGTAGAGGTATGATTATGTTGCCATGTGAACCAGCCTTTAAGTAATTAGAAACCATGAAAAATTCCAGAAAAAAGCTGTAACGTTTAAGAAGAGCTCAGACTGCTGTAAAGTATAGCTTTAAGTCACAAGACCCATTTAGAGACGGATCTGACCTCTCAAGTTACATAGGTGAGTTTTAAAAAAGATCAGCCCACCTTGAGCTCTGATTGCTAGGTTTGAATGAATGAGGGTTGAATAAGTTTTTAAAGTAGGCTGAAAAATCTACTTGACTTGTGTCAAAGCTTGTTATTTGGAGGTGATGGTGCCTCCTGAACCACGATGGGTTTAGATTGACCGGTTTATAGATAGGTCTGGAGAAGTTCACTGGAACTACAGATTTCCAGTGATGAGGGTGAGATACATCTGTTAGTTTTAGCTGAAGTGTTAAGTAACTCTTATTCAGAAAGTTAAGTTTGAAAACTAATCAGAAAAGACTAAATTAGTATTTTGTTATTCATCTTTTTAAAAGAAAGTGATTAGAAATAAGCCTCAAAAACCTTTTATCAGTGCATCTTGATCAACTGCTTGTAAAACTTGCCAACAGTCAGTAAGAAATATATTACCTTGCAGGTATTAAAGCCAGGCATATGCCTTTACATTGCAACTAAACTATGCTATCTATTCAGATTAGGGAGTCGTGGAGATATCTGGAGGAACTAATGTGAGAAAAAAAAAAAAAAAAAAAAACACATCGGTGTGTGAAGCTGATTAAATACCAGTGGAAAATGGATCATTTACAGGACAAACACACTTGGTCAATCTAAACATCATTTTTACAGAATATAATTAAAACAACCACTGAAACATATTTCTAAAAATATTTCTTCACATTCCTAACTTGTACTTGTGTTAAACATCAATCTCTTGAACAACTTGAAAGAGGGAGCATTTAAAAGGCTCCTGCAATCTTCAAATATCATTCTGAAGGCTGGAATTCAAGATTTGAAGTGTTAGCTAAGCTATAAATACATGGCAGCAACCCTATCATTTTTCTCTGCAACTTGTCATTTTCCCCAGAGGAAGGACAGCACCCTCGGGGGCAATTTATCTCATTGATGAGTGGGTGGCAATGTGTCACGATGGGAGATAACCAG